CCACCCCCCCATCCGCCCGTCGATTTCATTTCTATTCGCTACTCCCACCGCTTGATCCGCGACACAAATGGATACCACCGTCGCCATCCAGAGGGTACGGTCGCGGGAACTGCGCCGCCACCGCCGGCCGCTGCGGCTGGACCCCGTCGACGACGTCCACGAGCTGCAACACCAAACCTATCGGCTGATCGTGCTCACGCCCAAGCGGTGGTTCCACGACTGGCACATCGACGACGAGGCCCATCATACCATCAGCGCCGTCAACGCCATGGTGCCGCCGCCAGTTCGAAAACACCGCCACGGGCTGACACTGAGCCATCACCTGCGCCATACATTTGAAGTACCCGACGCCCCGCTACCGCAGTATTACGATAGCAACTCCCGCAAGGGCAGCAATGAGACCGGCAATGGCCTGGTGCTCACCAACGAACGGCGTTCGCTGGCACAGCTGGCGCAACTGACGCAATCGCGCCGGTCCCGCGAAGAACGTCATAAAGAACGCCATCAGCGCCGAGCCCGCTCCCAAGACGGCCGCCGCCGGTCTCGTCGTAATGATGACGACGACGCTCAGCTGGTCCGTCTGCGCAGAAGACGTAATGACGATGATAACCAGCTGATCAGACTGCGCCGACGCCGCAAGGACGATGACGATACCCAACTGATCCGTCTGCGCCGGCGCCACCGAGACGACGACGACAACGTCCTGGTCCGTCTGCGTAGGCGCCATCGAGACGATGATGACGCCCAACTGATCCGCCTGCGGCGGCGTCAGGACCGCCTGGAGGAGCGGCTGTTGCGCCTGGTGCGCTCATTCGAGCTGCTTCGACTGGCGGGGAGACGGTTACGGCGAGTGCCGCTGGGGAAGATTCTCCACGGGGTGAGATTACCCGCTATTCCGGCGACCAAAAAAGAAGGGCGTATCCAAACATTAACTGGGGCTCAAGAAGTGACCTATAAACGTCTTTGGGCTGAGATCCTCTACGCTTGGGGTTACCCGATCGATATCGATATCCTGGACATCGGGTACCTGCTGTGCTATGTCCCTTCGCTGCTGACGATGAACCGAGACAATTACGTGCTTGTGCGCTCGGTGACAAGGGCGCTGGGTAAGCTGACGAAGCTGACGAAGCTGGGGTTCTCGCTCTTCCGCCTGAGAACTAAAGACGACTCGTTGCGACAAGTGAATACCCAACGGCTGGGGCTGCCGCCGCCAAATCTGAGACGGATGAATGAAATCATGTACAGTCGCCACCGCTACGAGCCGATCGTGTGTCCCACCGATCCCGTGATTAACGCCTACGTCAACGTATTTAAGCTCTCTTACGAATTCGCCAACGACTATATCCCTCTGGATAACGAGGATAACGACCCCAGTGACGATGAAGAACTCCATTTCGAAGTCGCCCTGTTTGATCTGTTCAAGACGGCTCAGCTGGAGCCTAAGCCAAGAGTGACCACTCGTACCCCGCCTACTTCGTCAAGTAGTATGAGAGTGCCGTTGATCGGCGAGGACTTTAAAGTTTACAAGTACGGCGATGTCCCCAAGGCGAGAATGGTCCAGCACCCAGAGTCGAACCCTGACCTTCAACGGTACCCGCCCATTGTATTCCAAAAGCAATGGCTCGCAGCGTGTCGCAATGATTTGCCCGATAACTTTATCTTACGGTTTGTCAGAGCTCGCAAATGGGACGTGGATAAGTCGATCAAAATGCTCTCGGAGCTGATCGCATGGCGGTTGGAGAACCCGGCTAACGACTGGCTCTTTGAAGGTGACGGCCCTCTGTACCTCCAAGGCCGCAACCAAGGGATGATCCGCAATTTCACCCGCGAGAAGCTGTGGGTATCGGGTGTTGACCGTGAGGGTTGTCCCATTTTCTGGTTCCAAGCTCGTAAACACTTTGGCCTGGACTCTCCCGCTCCCGAGACTGAGCGGTACGCGGTACTCCAGATCGAATGGGTGCGTTTATTCTTGCAGGAAGTGTCTGATGGTGTCGACAACTGCTCCATTGTGTTTGACTTAACTGGGTTTACCCTTAAAAACGCTGACTACTCGGCAATTAAGTTTTTGGCGGTGGTATTTGAAGCCCACTACCCTGACTGCTTGGGACGGGTGGTGATCTATAATGCCCCCTGGATCTTCTCCACTGTGTGGAACATCATCAAGCACTGGTTTGACCCCGTGGTGGCGGCTAAGATCCATTTCGCCAAAAACTACCAGGAGCTTAAAGAACACATCGACCCCATCCACATCCCCACTGAGTACGGGGGTAAGTCCGTCAGTGCGCCCGAGTACCCCGTGCCCATGCCGGGCGATGACCGCCCCCCGTTGAAAAAAGACGCCGAGTACCGCCGGTTGCGTCTTGAGCGTGACTGGCTTATCATGAAGTTTTTGACGGCGCTGGTAAAATGGGTGGAGGCGATCGACCCCGACGAGCTGGAGCGCTACCTACAGGAGAAGATTGCGTTGAACATCGCCATCTCTGAGAACTACTGCAAGTTGGACCCCTACATCCGCTGTCGCGGCATCTACGACCGTAACGGCACCTTAAAAGTTAGAAGTTAGAGAAATACACTTTTCGCCCTGGTGGCAACCGATGACTAAACGTCGTAGCGTGAGACTGGTATAACAATACCCACTCACGCGTCACCACTAAGTGTACAAAAGCAAACACAACATAAAACCAATGTCTCTCTATTTTCCCTGGTTGTGAGGTCATCGGGCATCGATCACCCCATCGCGCTCGTGAGGTATTTATCGCTTCACCAGCATATTTGACATGTTCGAGTACGCCACCCGTGCAGGTGGGTGACGGCGACCGCACACAACTCCGTGCCGGCGGGCGCGACCACCGACAGCCACCCTGCACAGACCCCACTTCTCGCTAAACATAGACCTGCCGCCGAGGGTCAAAGCAACTTTATTTACTGAGAGAGTGGGGGGTCCGTCCCAGGGTGGTGTGGGGGCCGTACCCGTGAGAGGCGGGATTTTTCTCTTTTTTTTTTTCAGTGAAATATTTATGGTACCTCTTCCTGTACACAGGCGATTGCCACACCGGCCTTTGTGGGTGATCGCCGGCTGGAGTCGCCAGGTGAGGTGTTATCGCACCGATGGTGGAGTGCGTAGCGTTAAATTCACATGGGCCACCCTTGGCGGGCACCGAGCCAAAACCATGCAGGACGAAAACGTCACCGTGAACGGGCCAACGGGAAGGAAGAGACTGTCACCAGGTTTCGTGTTTTCTTCCATTCAATTTGTATTGGGTTGGGTGACCACTAGTGTTGCTAGGACGCTGGGCGGCGGCTTCAATCAGTGGCCCGGTGTCATCTCGCTTACGACCAGGGCCGCCACGCGTATTGCCTCAAAGGGGAAAACTTAGGGTCGTATGCAGGTGACAAATCGCCCGTCACTCCCAGCGTATACTTAATTGCCCTACACTGACACCAGCTCGTCCACCCCGTTTACACGGCTAACCCATCCCGCAATATGTCTTCGATCAGACGGTTCGCCTCCAAGCCCAAGCGCATCGTCCGAAAGCTCACCATCCGCAGTCTAGGCCGCGGCAGAGACTCGCTGGCTCCCACGCCCGCCAACGACTCCGATGGCACCTACACCCCGAGTCATAACCGTCAGCGGCTGGGGCTCAACCACAACGACTTCCCCAATGCCACGGGGCAAGAAGTGACTCCGGACGAAGGCGGCTCTGATACACTGTACGATAAGCTGGCGGGGCTGGTGCTGCTCAGACTGCCGAGAACGCTGCTGCTGGTGCTGAGACGGCCCCGAGACACTCATGAAGTGAGCCCGTCAAGCTCGCTCAGAAGCGCCACCCGCCTGGTGCTGCCCCGATCGAAACCCCTGGTGAAAAAGCGCTACAGTGTCTATAGCGAGGGCCGCTCCCGCAATAACCGCAAGCGTAACCTGACCAGCAACCGCAGCCGGCTGCGTCTGAAGAAAACGGTGGCGGCGAAGGCCCCCGCCTACCCGTCTCACGCGGGGGTCAAGTACCGCCCCGATCGCATCCAGTCGCTCTCCGCCGACCACGAAGTTGTGTTGAAGCAGGTGTGGTGCTATCTTCTCAAATACTGGGGCTATTCGGTGGACATCGACCCCGCCGACGTCAAGCACCGCGAGCTGTTTGTGGCGCTGACGCTGACCGGCGGCCTGCTTGACCCGGCGTTGCTGAAGATCTCTACCCGCAACCTGAGTCTCTATCTGGGCAAACAAAAGTACCATGAACACACCCATGTTCCGCGTGACCTGCGCCGTATCCTTGACATCCAGGCCAAGTGCCACCAGGAACAATACCAGCCCATCGCCGAACCCCTGGACGATATCATTAATGTGTTTGTCAACTGGCACAAACTGAACTTTGAGCACAGGCCCGACTATTCGCGCGATCTCGACGCTGAAGATGCCAACGGCGTCGCTAGCGAACAGGCGCTGATACTACTGTTTGTCACCGCCGCCTCCGACATCAGCGAGCCCGACGACATCAGCGATGTCCTCAGCCGTAACGGTGACGTCCGCTCGGCCACGCCTCGTCTCAAACAGGTGAAGAAGACTCCTCGCGAAGAATACCCCCGCATTCACGAGGGCTTGGTCCAGGTGTCGCCGGAAAAGTCCCATGACGCCATGTACTTATGGCTCCGCCAGGAGTTGCCTGACGATATGGTGCTTAAGTGGTGTCGGGCGAGAAAATTCAACACCAACGACATTCTCTCGATGTTGGGGCGGACGTTGGCGTGGAGAACTCTGTTGCCTGTCGAACAATGGTTAAACGAAGGTGACAGTAAAGTCTACAACGAAGGCCAGCGTACCGGGTTCATCAAGAATTTCCTCGTGGAAAAGTCGTGGATCAACGGCACTGACCACGACCAGAACCCCGTCTACTGGTTCGAGGCTCGTAAGCATTTCGGTCTGGATCTGACTCCCCCCGAAATGACCCACTTTGTCGTGTTGTCGATGGAATGGGCCCGTCTCTGGTTCCAGGAAGTGACCACGTCTAAAGATACCCTTCTGATTGTGTTTGACTTGACTGGGTTCTCGCTCAAAAATGCTGACTACACCACCATCAAGTTTTTGGCCGAGGCCTTAGAAGCTCACTACCCGGAGCTGTTGGGTAGCTTGTTGATCTACAATGCCCCCTGGATCTTTTCCACCGTGTGGAATATCATCAAGCACTGGATCGACCCTCACGTCGCCGCCAAGATCCACTTCTGCAAGGCATTCAAAGATCTCAAAGAATACATCGACCCCGTGTACATCCCCCAGAAGTTTGGTGGGGCTGACACCTCGGGGCCCGAATACCCTGTCCCGACGAAAAACCAACTGCACCCTCCATTAGCCAAAGACGCCAACTACCAGCGGTTGATGAAAGAGCGGGACTTGTTGTACATGCGGTTTTTGGATGCTACCCGCCGCTGGGTAGAATCAACCCTGCCCGAAGTCCTGTCAAAGTACCTAGAAGAAAAGATTGGTCTCTCCACATTGCTTCTGGACAATTATCTTGCTATTGACCCTTACATTCGGAATCCAGGCATCTACGACCGGAAGGGCAATTTCAAATTGAAAAACTAACGAATGCTTTCATGAACGATAATAAACGAATATAGATTTTACCCGTCAGACTTGTAGCTAGAAGTATAGAATAAGTCGCCAATATCTGCCAATTCCTAATTGATGCTCCAAGACTACAATGGGGGAGATCCGGAAGCTGGGAATCTGACATTTAAATCATATGTCTTGGTCTGAATTATCAAAGGTTAGACTAACCCTATGGTTCGATTTCACACACTTGACAATTTTACAATTTCAGAGAACAAGAACAATACTATTTAATAAAAAACGGACCGAGGATCTTTGAGCAGCTTACGACGTCGTTTTGACAAGCAAACGGTTGTTGGGTTATTGTGGTGGGTGTTTTAGTGTTGGCTGGTTGTCATGCTGTATTTAGTGCACCCGAGACAAGCCAAAACTAGACGCGTAACTTAGATACACGCGCTCCTTAAATACATTAAGGAACTACACTACCTGTAATGGTTTTAGCAGTATCCGTTATAGAGACATAGAAAACCATCGACCCCTTATCACTAACTTCATTTAACATTTTCACTCTCCAGCATCGTCACTCAAAACCATCCCGCACTCCTATCATCAGTCGCGCGTAAATAAACAAAGTCATCAGGCACTCAACTCTACCGGCTGCAGACCACTGTCGTAACTGGCGTCAGAGGAAACCAGCAGAGTGCAAGACTCCCGTTTAATTATTTGTGACTTTCTGACCAAGTTGGTGCCATCGTCGTCATGGATCTGAGTGAGGACGACTTCCAGGTCGACTTGCGAGACCTTATCTCCCAGCTGCCAATTAAGAAGACTACCACTCGAGAACCGCCACCGGCTGTGCTGGGAGTTCACTTACGAGTACCTGACCTCGGTCCCCCAAGTCGAGTGGGGCTCTCTGAAGAGCTATTCCAAGTGACACGCAATCTACGCAAAATGGACAGAATTCTCTCGACCCCAGTCACTTACAGACGGACCCCTCGCCCTACTCGACTTAATAATGATAAGGTGAATCGGTTTATATCTACTTTGCGCCAAAGCAACCCCGATTTCGCTCTTGACGATCAATTGCGTGGGCGCTACTATGGGCGCAACGGGGATACCATGCCACCTCCGCCGGGACAGCTGACGGCGAACATGCTGTCATCATTAGATTCCCAGCTTGAATCATTTCTCGATAAAGAAAACATTTTCCCAGAACCGACGAAAAAGCTTTCCAAAAAGCAAAACCAGCAGCTGTCATCTAACGCATTAATCCTTGGCCGGGTCGATCTCAACTCAGGCAAGAGGAAACGGGGTCTGCGGACAATGTCACTATCGCCCCCTCTTCAACGTCTGCCGACTCCCTACAGTGACCAAGAAGACGCCATTGAATTTGCTCAGAGACTGCCGAAACGGCGATGTGTGCCTCAGCACAGGTTTGTCCGCCCGCAAAGGCTGCTGTTGGTGTCGGGACGGCGACATGGTATCTACATTGTGGACTCGCTGACCGGCAGTCTTGATGAAGCCACGTCATACGCCACCGAGCTCAATCTGCTGGCACCCGGAGAATTCCAGTATCCCGATAACCCCAACGAGATTGTCCATATTCCCACCGAGTCACTTCCTAAGAAAATGGCCATTATTCGCATGGTGGAGACTAAATCAAACCCATCGGAAGCCACTACTCGAGTGAAAAAGAAGGTTCAATGGAAAGAGGACCTCAAGGATTAATTACGAAGTACACGAAACTACACGATTTTGAGACATGTAAACATACTATATTTCAGCGTATATCCACCACGATGTCTCTAGCAAGCGTCACCATATATTAGCCGCACCGCGACGTTTCCAACGTAGGTATAATCGACATGAAGGTCGCGGTGGTCGGGTGTTGCCACGGAGCCCTCAATACCATATATGCCCTGATACCTCTTGACACCGAGTTGCTACTTATATGTGGAGACTTTCAGGCATTCCGCAACCCGCTGGATATGGAGGCAGCGCTGATACCACCGAAATATCGAAGCATGATGGACTTCCACGAATACTACAGCGGGGAGCGAGAGGCTCCTGTCATGACGATTGTTATTGGAGGTAACCACGAGAGCTCTTCGTATCTACAGGAGCTACGATTCGGAGGCTGGCTAGCACCGAACATCTACTATCTCGGTGAAGTTGGCGCAGTATGGTACCGAGGCTTGGTCATTGCAGGTGTGCTGGGTATATACAACCAACGAAGCTTCTACAGGAAAGCTCCCGATGAACAATTACCCTACACGTCCGATACAGTTCGCCTGGTATACCATACCAAGCCACGACAATTGCTTAAAGGCTTGTTACTTCCCAGCGATGAAATTGACGTGTTCCTCAGTCACGATTGGCCTAGTGGCATCGAACATTACGGGAACACCCGTAAACTCATCCAAAAGAAACCCCATTTCGGTCCCTCAATTGACGAGCGGCTGTTAGGGCTGCCAATAGCGATGACGTTATTGAAAAGTTTAAGGCCTCGACACTGGTGTTCAGGCCATTTGCATGTCCGGTACGAAGCAGAATACAAGCATAACGAGTCAGTTAATGCTCATGAGATCGAATTGAACATGGACGATGACTTTAATGAGGATAACACCCACCAGCGTGGTTCATCGACATCATTTTTAGCATTAGACAAACCCGGTCGCCGGCGAAGTTTCATTGGCGTGTTGAACGTTGAGCCTCAACCACAGCACTTGGGCCATCCCAGCTTGAATAGCGACCAATTGTGGTATTTTGAGCCCATGGCTCGCATCAACCACCAGGTGGATCGGCTTGGCCCGGTAGTCGGAACACCGACGGCCATCGAGAATCCGAAGGGCTGGAAAATAGGCAACGTTGTACGCGGTAAAGTAGAGCTGATGGACAGGTTTCCCGAAACACCCGTGCCCAATGATTTCTCTATCGTGGCTCCTACAGATGCCTCACTGCTACAGTCATGGCCTAACCCTCAGACTAGCCTGTATCGCCAAAGGTACGATCTTAGCATAGTCTAATGCCCGACATACTTCGCCGTTTTAAATTTAGCCTTTGTTATCCAATGTCATCGAACAGTAGAGGACGGTCACCGAGAGCAAACAACGCGTCACACATCTTACCCCGAATGGGACATTGCTATTAAGCAGGCGAGCGTCGAGCGGTCGCCCCGAGATGCCATCGGCCGCAAAGACAAAAATAAATAGAATGTGAGCCCAACTACTATCAAACGACGACCTATCTATGTTCTGATCGTGGTTAGCGAAAAAGGCGTGCTTTGTTCTGCAAACTTCTGGGACGATGGACTGACGAACTGTGTCGTAACCCCTATAATGCCCAGCAGGTTTGGTGAAGAGAAAAAAAATTGCTTTGCGACCCCTATATTCTGAGGGGAAACTGCGAACGGTCACGTGACGACCTTGACGCGCTTGCACTATGTTGTTGGGAAACATCATCATCATTATTTTTTCGGTCTTGCGAGGTTATACTTCGTGCCGGCCCGCTCGGGCGCATTGGTGGTGCATTTGTATAAGAAGTCCGGGGAACCCCACACTCTGGGGAAATCATGAACTGCTGCGATTGTCCCAGAGCATGCCACGTTTACACGAAGCGCGTGGTGGCCGGTGCTGGTCACCGTGAAACCTATACCTGTTGGATGTGCCACAAGCGGTGCAACCCGTCCTTTGCACCTCAACGAGTGCTGGTGAGCAATGATAAGAGAAACATGAAGCTCTTGGAGTTGAAAACTATGCGCATGGCTCAAGTGAACCGGACTTTGATGAGAGACGACGCTTGGGCTTGATTGATTTCTGGGGAACGATTATAGATTGATTTTATTTGGGAATACCCATAGGTTTTGGAAACTGGCAAACGGCTCATACCATCTTAATGACTTTATTTAATGAACATAATGATCTCTATTAGTTGACATTGTCTTTACAACGGCCTCAAGCGGGGTCGTAGCGGGGCACCCTCAAAGTTCTTCATCGTAGCCTTGATGGTTTGATTAAGTTAATCCTTTCTAAAAAAGTTATAGAGACGCTGTAGTTGATTGACAGCTGGTCGCGTGAACTAGCACAAAGGACACGGCACATCCACGGAGGCGGTAACCATCGCTTCGTTGCCGGTCTAGCGCGAAGTCCGTGCATCAAGCCGACAGGACCCAACAAACGCGAGGATCTCGCAATGTACAGAACTTAAGCAGCCATTGAACGTAAATGAAATCTGCAGTTCATTAAAGTGCGGGATTCGTAATATGAATGCCAGTAGATTGCCGATTATTTAGTTTTCACTCGAACCATATGTTTCTAAAACGAAGCGAGAGTTTGTTTGTTGACTTTTAAGGTCAAATAACTTCGCTCAACTTAACCTTATTATGTATGCGGTCGAGAAATTTCCGAAAGGCACACAATAGTTCGGAACATTTGTGGAGATCTACGTATAATGAGAGGTTTTCTGTTGAATTGGACCCCACTGTGGCAAAAACTCAGGGGTACTTCTAGATAGGAGGACTTATCATTACGCCTTAAATTGCAGGATGACATGTGGTGATCATAAAGGAGAAAGGATCCTTGCGACAAACTATAACTTTATCGTGATGTGACCAAACTCAGTTTGCCTCAACACCTGTCGGCTACATCTTGTTCGTTTATTTTGGCGCAAAGGTGTTTCCAAGGAAAGCAATGATCGCGCCACTTAAATTCTCCCACATGTAACAATGGCGCTCACATAGTACAACTATTTGTCGTCAAGTCGGGCCTAGTTGCTCAAAGTCAATTATCGATCCATCGAATAAACCCCAATGAAATTGGTAGTGAGTTTATAGATCAATACCTGTCCGATGCAATGAACTTGAACATTCTCCTGCACAAAATCTTCGTATCTAGGTACAGTATATCCGTTTATGAACACACTTCCACCAGAAGTGGTGGAGTTAATTGCACGTCATGTTGACCGAGTCCTGCTATTCCGGTTGATACAGCTACTGTCCCTTGATCCACGATGGCACAACGTGTACAACTATTTGCGCTGCCGGCCCTATATCATCACCATCGATAAGGATCCTCTCAATTGCAAGGCATTGGAACAGCTCGACGATATCATTCCTCATCTTGAAAACATCACGTTGATCCCTTATCAAGGAAAAAGACTTAACCAGGGTATCATCAATGACCTTATACGAAGTTTTCCCCTTAAGAACATCAATATCCATTATCCTGCTGTCAATGGCAACCACTGTCACTCCTTCGATCGTGTTACTCTGTTAAAGTGCAACGCAGACAGTCTTGCTTCAGTGACGTCGCAATTTCCACACTTGGTTCATTTGACCCTAAATTTAACTGGTACCGAACCCCATTATTTAATACCTCCATTGCCCATAACTCTCGAGAAGTTGAATATTCTGAATTGGAGTTTATGCACAGTGACACCGCCTCCGCTGGTCATGTCCCTACATTTAGAAATGGGACTGTTTGTGATTGAACCAAATGACTCAGGAGAGTTGCGTCATCTTGAGGAGTTGAAACTAAAATATGTGAAAAAGTTGTCATGGGGTGTGCAGAAAGTCCCTCAACTCTCACGATTTGGCCTGATAAAGCACTTGGAACTGGTATTGACCCCACCTGGAATTCCAGACCCAGTGGAATCGCTTTTTCAAAATGATATAAAGCCTCTGCCTCGGCCAACCAAAGTGAAACTTACAAAACATTATAACTCGTTGGAATTGGAGATTGATTTGAGTACGGATAGTGCCAGCGAAGTATTCAAATTTCCATCAGACACCTGGCGCTCTGATGTGATAGATACCATTGATTGCCGCGCTATGGGATTCCCAGATGATCTACAAGAGCTTGTCATATCCAAATTCAATATGCACAGTCTAACCCAAATGCCCTCAGAGTTGACACGTCTAGTTGCCACGGATAACTATCTACAGCATATCGATCCATTCCCACCAAAACTCACGTATTTGGATGCACTGTATAACAAGCTTGAACTGGTGAGTTTGTCTCCTTCACTCAAATTTGTCGACCTCTCAAGAAATCAATTCTCCAAAATAATGCATATACCAGCGCTGATAAAGCACTTGAACCTTTCGAAGAATAAGATTGAATCACTTGAAGGAATAAGCGGTGGGGAAAGTCTTGAATACCTAGACTTGCAAAATAACTTACTTCTGGTCGTCAATATTAGCCTTCCGAATTTGTCAGTGTTAAACCTCAATTCCAACAAGTTGGTTGATGTGAGTTTGAAATGCCCTAGGTTATCCAAAGTTTCATTGAAGAAAAATAACTTCACGAGATTGCCAGATTTGCCAGGCGAGATCATGGAGTTGGACTTATCGAATAACCTGATAACAGATTGGAGAGGACTAGCAAGCCTTCACCGGCTAAGACTGCTTGATATCTCTGAAAATAAACTAAGCTCTTTGCCGCTTGAAATTGAGCGCCTTGTCAACATAGAGTCGCTTCACGCTAACTATAATCAACTTGAGGAGGTCCACTTTGAGCACAACTCTAGCTTGAAGGAACTTCAGCTTGATGGTAATCGTTTGAAAAGTATCGATTTGACGACATTGTCACTTCAGGTTGTTAGTATTTCCAACAACCAACTTCATGAGTGTGACCTTCCTTTACTGGTGGTCAGGGTTTCATTATCTAGAAACAATATTCGTCATCTTCAGTCATTCAGAGGTTACGCACAACTTGAGCATCTTGACATTAGCTCCAATCGTTTGGAACTGGTGATCTTGCATGCCTCACTGGTGAAGCGCTTAGCGGTGTGGGGTAATTTTTTGAAAGACATAATTGTACCCAAGGAGGCCATCCCTGAAGTTTCGTTTGGTTCTGAAAACATTCAAAACATCCGAATTGGTGATAGTTTTGACCTGCTGAAAGTCATTTTCCAGAACCCCAAAGGGCTGACGGAAAACCATTGGCGCTCAGAGGTTGTCTTCAGCGATGACCGACTTCACATTCCGGGGGGCGTTGCTGTCGGAATAATCGATATTCCGCCCGGTTTACGTGAGCTCGATATCGCGATCAGTGAACTGCTGGACTTTTCTCGTTGGACTTTACCCCATCATATCAATAAGGTAAAGCTAACACGCAAGGTCAACCCTCAATTTCCTAAAGTTCGATTTATGTCCACAGAATTGGTGAAGCCACCCGGAGGAAACCATTGTTTTGCCTATCTCGATCATTTGACCTATTTGAAAATTGTTGGGCTCAATGTCAAAATGAGCCGTAGTCAGCCGATGGTCTGTCCAATGACACTTCGGTATCTTAACTTTGATTTTAATGTCAGTGATGAAATCTGGATTAAATTTAATGGTAAGGGTTCAACGAGTCTCTTCTCGCTTCTGATTCAGCTGTGTTTTCAAGATTCTGCTTCGAATCAGTTATTGAGTCGATACACGTACGATAGCATCGGCCATAACGAAAACACTCAACACTCAAACCTTCGAATCATTGAGGCACTGACGCCCCCGATCATACCCGAGTTAGGTGCAGTAAGTGAGCAGACGCTACACGCTTGCACTGAGGTCGAAATCGAGATGGCGCAAGGTACTATGCAGCCTTACCCATGGCCACCCGAAGTAATTTCATCGGTTTTCGATCCCGCCAAATGCCCACCTCGCCTTCAAGGTTACATAAATGAGCGAAAATTTGGTGTCAACAACGTCGTTTACTGGGAGTACCCTAACCCTCATTGCTTTGATGATGTCAATCCTGACTTTTGGCCTCGTACCGCTAGCATTCAATATATATGAATCGCGTAATGTATATTTATCCGTAGTAAAGTTCAAAGTTGAAACCGTCGTGGACTTCGTAATCGGCTAAAGAGATGTGATCCTTGTAGACTTGATAACCCTTTTTGAGAACAATCTTTTCCCAGTCCATGCCCATTTGAAGACCGATCATTTTCTTTAAATCACCCACAGAATCTTCCTCCAAGCATTTGACTTTTATCTTTCTACCTAGCCGGTCATTGGCCTGAACTTCGATCATTGTTGTACGTGTGATCAGCGATGGCTGGATTTACCGCGCGCTGATGTCAGTGTTTACACCAGTATCTGTAAAATGTGTTTTGAGCACAAGCCGAGTAGGATCCCAGTTCCAACAGAAGGCCGGTAAGATGTCCTACTAGTAGCACTAAGGCGTGCGATTTTTGCCAAGCTGACGATGTCATTCTTTTTCGATAACTGATGAAATCGTGGTGGCGTACAGGAGATAAAGAGATAATGGGAAACAGTGCAGCTAACCGACATTGAGGTCAAATCTGCATACACACAACAGCATAGAGACTGGTGATTGGCGTTCCACAAAAACAGCTATCAGTATTCAGTACAGTTATCGTCATTGTAGCCCTCAGAGACTAATATGGTGGCGACGTCATCTGTAGGAAGCGCGGCGTGCCTGTAAGGCTATTTATAACTAGCATTAAGTAGCATATACGCTATTCTAGCGCCAGCCTTCTATCTTTGGAATGCTTCTCGTTTAGAAGGATCATTTTTTATTTGATTTACACAAAATCCACGTTGTGCCAGCCACTCTTTTCCCCATCTCACTTACCTTAGGCCTGCCTCGGACCACCCCTGCATATAGTCCGCACTGTTGCCTGAACAATTAACCGCCTGGATCTGGACGGTTTACCTTTACCATGAGCAGTCCCAGGCCTACCGATGAACCTGTGCGTCCGGGACTTTATTACCCTTCGAAAGGCGCGTCAAAACTGCAGCGGCTGCTAAAGATAGCCTTGCCTCACTCCCAGAATCTGCCACATCTGCCTCCTAGCGGCACCAATAAACTGCCACCAGCTGGGCAGAATCCTTTGCCATCGAGCGCTGCATCTTCTCGAATAGGATTGTTACGATCCAATCTGCTGACTCGTGGTGAACCAGTGGGGCTGCCAAAACTAACGCCACTGACACCAAAGCCCCCCAAAAACCAGCGTACTCGTCTGCGGCTGTTCAATCTGGCTCCGTTCAGCTACGTGGACCAGGAGCGGTCGTACCTTCGAAAACTTCGGAACCACATGGCTGACGACTACTACACAAAGGGTATTCTGGGGGCACTGAGCGAACTGTTCGCCGAACAAGACGATGATGATGACGATGATATACAGTCGCTAAATACTGACCTACTTGGCGACATTGATGGTGATTATCTGGTTGATTTAACTTTGTCGCTGTTGAAACTCGATGATGTCAATCCCAACAAAAAGATAACACATCTAATAACGAAGGACGATGTCGATGACCCCAAGGTGCTTGAACGCCTAGAGTGGCAACTGATGTTAACTCTGGTTTTGACTGGTGATGTTTTACGCCTGGAAAAAACCAAATTTACCTCCAATACCTGGCTGGAAAATCCTCATGAGTCCCTTATGGTTCAAGCATATAAAGATAACTTGTGGTTTGGTGTACGAGCGAAGATTCTAAATCGAATCGAAAGTGAGCACCGCAAAGTCATCTCTTATCGCCGTACTTTAGTTGATGGTGTGATAGACGACATTAACAAGTTTGAGATTACGTATGACGATACTGAAAATACTCCTTTCGAGCAGGTTCGACATATTCTCGATCGCTGGGATCGACTGTGCATGCTTTGGCGTACTTTTGAGGAAATGTACAACGACAAACCTCAACTGCGTGAATATGACTTCATTAATCGCGTTGAAGCACTTCAACTGTGGCTTAATATCACTGATGCCATCAATAACCATTCAAATGCTCTTAAGGTGTGGATCGGGAACGACGAAATGGATATAACAAAGGGACGATCCTCGGCCGCCGATACCTCAAACAAATCGAATCGAATTTTTGACGATGAAAAGAAACTGTTAGCAGAACGATTGATGAAAGAGAAGGATGTTCAGACTGTATTTCGTAAGCGAATCTTTAATAACGTTACGCCTTGGATGATCAAACTGAAAGAGGCGTACATCAAGTACGGTCATTATTACGAGTTGATGAAGTTGCCCGATTATACTCACGATTTGATCAGAGTCAGTATCATTCCAATGAAATTGATCAAGGAGATCATACTGTTGCGGTTAGGTTATGCGATAAAGTTGCAGAACCCAACGTTGATGATGATTGATCAAATGATTGATGACTTTAAACTGTACATTACGATTGCTCTTGAAGTCAAGCTGGGTGTTCAAGATTATTGTAAGCCTGACCCGGAGCGAGCATGGGTATTGGGTGACCTATTTGAAGGAGAGGATAGTGATTTCGATCTGGTGGTTCTCAAATGTGTGCGGTATTACTTGCTTTTACTTAATCGAAAATTGCTTGATCTGCTGCGCCTGCCCACGAACTTTCGCACATTCAAAGAACCAGAGGAACTTGAAGAAGCTTGGAATTACTTAAGGAGAGTTGGTAATTTCATTGACGGAGGACTGGTGGTCGTTGCCGATGAGATTACACTTCTTACCTCTAAATTAATCCACCGTCTTCTTGCATACTTTAACAATCAAGTCCGTAATCCCCAGATTCTGAAGCTGAGTCTGGCCATTCAGGACATAATCCGCTGGTACGGGCTGACGACAGAAAATTTCGGCCAGTTGAGACGTAAACTTGCTCGGTTTACAGGAGAGATACTGCGCGAGTATACCAATCTGCTTGTCTTCGAAATACCCAAATCGGATGACAAAAACCTTAACAAAAACTTTTTGGATTGTCTCAAAACGCTGGGCCATTTCCTTGTATTCACGAACACGGTTGAGAAGCAAGGCACTTACTTTTTCGCATCTATGGAGCTTGCCGGAAATGAGCAGGAGATTTTGAAAATTATAACAGGTAATTACGCTGGTAATGATCCTAGTGAAACGAAAACAGTCTATCGGGATTTGTTGCAATTGAAACAGCTGGAAAAAGATAACGAAGAAAATTCAATCGGTGATCTTGATGAGCTGGTATTCCCGCTGTATTCGGATGCTCTACTGTATGTTATCGCGTTTTGTCCCCTGAAACCAATCGTATGGGAGGGTAACGTTGTGCATCTTGATCTACACGAGGTCCCTATCACAGATGTGAAAGCCGGTACAGTGGTTCTTATCTCTAAGTTACCGTACTATCAATTGCACATCACTCGTGAGAAATTTCTCGATGTTGTACTGGAAGTGATGATGGTTGATGGCAACATGAAGCCAGTTGAACAAAGATGTCTGATCGGAAAGGTACATCATGAGCTTACGAAAATCAATCGTCTTTTTTTCAAGATGTGCTTGACTGTGTTGGACTCGGTCAAGATTGTTCGCGCGAAGTGTAAAGAAATGTGTCCTCTGGGAGGTTACCAAAACTTGATTAACAATTTCTTCGTGTATGCCAAAGATTTCGGCAAGCTGTCACTAAGAAACTTGGATAGCCATCGTAAGCTGACGGTCATAATGAAGCTCATCCATCTTGCTATCGAATGGGTGAGCTTTATTGCTGATGATTGTGTACCGTCTGACAGAAAGACATTTCGTTGGTGCGTCTTGGCTCTTGAGTTTGCCATGGACATGACAAGAGGCTTTAACGTCCTTGTGCTCAACAAAGATATGTTCCATCGATTGCGTCTCAAGGTTGCACGTTGTATGGCTCTCCTTATTTCACATTTTGACATCATGGGAGCTCGACTGCTGGAAGCTGAAAAGAGGAAATTTCTCAAGTGGCTGACCCAGCGTAAGCAAATTGAACGTCTGGAAGATGAAGATTTGATTATTTCCGCCTACCAAGAAGATGTCATGCGTGAGCTTGATCAAATCGAGGAGAATCGTCGTTATATGCAAGAAAAGATTCAACTGGTCGGACGAGTTATCGATGTTACAGATCTGGAGTACCAATTTGTGACATTGCTCGCACTGTCCTTTTCACTGGTGTCAATCAGATGGCAAAAAGGAAGATTTATTGGCGGTGGTACTTTCGGTAATGTCTACGCTGCAGTCAACTTGGATACAGGGGGTGTCATGGCTGTAAAGGAAATCCGATTCCATGATTCTCAACTGATTAAAAATATTGTACCCCTGATTCGAGACGAAATGACAGTGCTTGAAATGTTGAACCATCCAAATGTTGTGCAGTATTATGGGGTTGAAGTTCACCGTGACAAGGTATACATTTTCATGGAATTCTGTGAAGGTGGATCTCTTGCTGGTCTTTTAACCCATGGCAGAATTGAAGATGAAGTGGTGATACAAATTTACACACTTCAAATGCTTGAAGGTTTGGCGTATTTGCATCATCTGGGTGTCGTGCACCGGGATATCAAACCGGAAAACATATTGCTTGACCATAACGGTGTCATCAAGTTTGTTGATTTCGGTGCCGCGAAGGTTATCGCATCACTGGGAAGAACTCGTGGTCCAAACCCACTGCGTGGGGCTAGCCATCTCAATACCATGACGGGTACACCAATGTACATGTCTCCAGAAGCCATTACCGGTGCAAACACAGCCAAGAATGGTGTGGTCGACATTTGGTCGCTTGGTTGCTGCGTCCTCGAAATGGCCACTGGTCGGCGGCCATGGCTGAACTTGGACAATGAGTGGGCTATCATGTACCATATTGCTGCCGGCAATAAACCACAATTACCATCCCCTGATCAACTAAGTCAAGCAGGTCGTGACTTTCTTTCAAAATGTTTGGAGCAGGATCCTGTTAAGCGTCCTCTGGCGGCAGACCTTTTGAATGATCCCTGGATGGTATCGATTCGACAAGCGGCGTTCGGGTCCACCGAAAATGTTAGTACTCCGCTGCTGGAAACCAGCGAGCCGCCGCCGTTGATAACTGAAAGACAATTATAGATAATATGAAATAGGCTTTTACAAAGCCCTAACGAGCTGGCTGTCTTTCTCATATATATTTGAAAATATCAACATCATTACAAAAACATGTTCGTATGAAGCAAGCAGGTTTGCTTTCTTCGCTCAGCGTTATCATTACTATTTACAGGACTTTAGGCGAGGTGTTTGTCGAAGTAAGTCTTGATCTCTTGAACCCGATCTCCTTTGATATTCACGTATCCAACTTGGGGGTTAACGGCGATCTCCAAGTCGGGGTTGAGCTTCAATAAGTCCTTCTTGAATTGGATGACATCGCCCTTGATTCTCTTGACCTCTGTTTGAATTTTTGTGTTTTGAATCTTCAAGTAAACCGGCCAGTGTTGAAACTTGGTCTTTTGAATGTGGTAGTTCCCCGTTCCAAATCCGTTGTTGGGCAAATCTGACGCCAGGACCAGCAGAAGTGCGGGTATTTGGTACAAGGAGACTTCGGGTTTCGCTAAGGAAACCCGAACGGACTTGAGAACAGCCAGGGTAGGTCTCATGGTAGTCACCAGACGCGAAGAATTTTAGGTGCACAAATGGCTAGCGATGAACGGAAAATTTCGTGGGTGCGAACCCATGCAGGTGGATTCGTTTATGGAGAAAGCAGTACTTTGACTCCACAATTTGTTGCACCCAATCAATCTGTTTTCAATTTGGGTATATATGAAATCTGTAGTTCTAGCATCTGTTCAAATGTTAATGTGAATTCGATGAAATTACATATCGCATATTGACACTTAGTTAGCATACTAATATCCATTTCTACTATATCTCCGGACCCCTATATATAACCCAAAAAACCCATTAACTATTTGAGAATTAATCTGACGCAACCTTTCCGTGGTCAGTTTGCAAATGAAGGGCATATGGTGTTTTCTTGTCGAAAGAGAGCTCACATTCTGAGCAGTCAAATCTTTCGTGAACCTTCATGTGCTTTGTAAGATTCAGGGATTCGGAAAAGCGTTTACCACAACCTGGGTACTTACACACTAATGGCTTTTCACCAGTGTGAACTCTGTTGTGAATGGATAATGAAGAATTTGCCGCAAAACGTTTCCCACAGATATTGCATTTGTATGGTTTCTCCCCCAGATGAGTTCTTAGGTGTTGTTGGAGCATATGTGTTGTGGCAAAAGTCAGGCCACATTCATCACACTTGAAAGGCTTGTAATTGGTATGAATATGAATATGACGTAGCAATTTTTGGCGTTGAATAAACTCCTTCCCATGATGGCGTACGCAACCAGTCCATTTACATGAATACTTCAGACGACCCAGCCCAACATGCTCCTCAATCAAATGATTTTGAAGATCACCAGCAGAAGCGTGCAGTTTGTTACATGTGACCCCATCGGCAATTTCCCATTTACATGTATGAGTTGGATCAATAGGTTCCTTCTTTTTAGGATTGATTTTCACCTTGGTGATTGATACAGGCTTCTTGCGAGCAGGAGATGTTACAACTGGAGATTTGGCAGCTGGAGAAGGTGGACGAATGACTTCATGTGGTTGATGATGTCCCAAATGAGCAACGAAGTTTTCCCACAGGTCTTCCATGAAATTACAATCAGCCCATTCGCAATGATAGCGTGGGCGATCTCCTTCCACTTTGACAATGTGGTCTTGTTCCAAATGAGCCATTAGCTGCTCCGAGGGTAGTTGTCTATCGCAATTATCCCATTGGCAAGTTTGCTGGTTCAAATTGTTGAACTGAATGTAAAAATCGTAGTCCAGCATTAACGGTTGAGGTGCTGGAAGTGCTGGCGGTTGTGCCTCGGGAATAGCGTTACCCACATTTGGGATGGTGGTATGAAAACATAATTGATGGTAATGATGATGGTTCTCTGTTTTAGGGACATCTTGGTCAGCAAAAGCAGGCTCTTGGTGGCATTGGTGGGGGAAGTGAAGCTCAAATTGAGGAGGTTGGATTTTTTGTCGCTTTGCAGCAGGCTCTGGTTGGTTATCATCGTTATCGATCCCTAGTTGTACACTTTCGATGATGTTCTTAAACAAAATTGTGTTGTTTTGTTGTGATTCGCATGCCTTCTGGTCACAGTCGCCAGAGGAGCCACATTCTGGGCTTTCTTGTGGTCCACAACAGTCCAACACAACCTTTCTGGGGTCCTTGATACACAGTGGATCGGTACAAATTCGGTTGGCCTCGTTGGTGAGGGCTAAATGTGGAGCCGGTGGTGCCAGCACTTCATCGCAATGATTGAACTGGCAATCATCTAACTCATCACACATGATGTCACGGCAAGCCTCTTCGTCGATGTCACACAACTGGCCAGGGTTAAAATGCTGGTCATGATCATGGTTGTGAATGTGACCATGAATGTGGGTGTGATCCTTATGCTTGTGGATATGTCCATGGACGAACCCGTGGATTCCAGGTAGTTCAGAAAACTCCATTGTCAACTCGATGTGAGGCAAACTCTTTTCCTTTGTACTTTTGGGAAACTTAGGCATTCTAAGTACCTTGGTGGTTAAGGGGAAATCCATGCTGGTATTCTGCATATAATATCAGCCTGCAAGGGCCCAATACTTTTTCGTGGCGAAGAGTCAACGAGGAGGTATAGCACTACCAAATACCTCGACCCAATTTATATCATGGTTCTGATTGCATTATTCGACACTACTTGAGTCAAAAAGGCCTGGTTTAAAAGAACAGGGCAGCGTGTTTTGAGTCGCCGCATGTAGTTGAAAGCGAACTATATGTGACTAATAAGAACAACTCCTGATTATTTGATTGATTGTGTAGTTCAATCATATGTTCTGTGTTGTGTTCCACTACAGTTTTCTTCGACCAAGGCAATACCCCAACAAATGCTAGTCAATACGGGAGCTTCACGTTTGCGCAATGACAGACTGACTTTTTGACTCTGGCGTTTCGTACCAAACAATTTTCATAAATGGACTTCAAAATAGTGAATGCCCTATTTTATGAGCTTAAACGCTTTCCAAAACAGTATATGCGAGGCCTCGCTTGCGGAGACCCTTAATATTGCAAATCTTACAATGTTTCAAATCAAAATAGCACGTTTTGCAGTCGGCAGTGTACGAAATTTCAACCACAGTACACCATGAAATCCTTGTAGCTATTTCATGATTGAGTATGGCACCAGTCTGGAGATTGAGATTACGAGTCACATTTGACAACATGTACAATCGGGGTGATGTGAATCAGAGTTTTAGTTAATTTTGGCGCCTCATTCGAAACTTGTATTCTTTTAATTTGAACGTGTCAGATGATGATTCCACGAATCAGTGTAAAACTCTACCACGAAGACTCGATCGCAAAATCGAGACCACATTTCGTTGTAGTCTAGAATCGAAGAACCAGAATTCGTCTCAGTACATCTCTCGACAGTGGTCGCAGCAATGACTGTGTATCATGTGACCAGGAAATACACTTGATATTCGTGTTATCGTTAGTCAAGTTAGCTTCATTGAAAGACGCTGTTGTTTGACCCTCAATGCTACCGCTATTTCTGGTTTCTCACACACGTCTGCTCGTCCGCGTTCGTTCGACCACCTTTTTCGCTATGTGTGCAGTCGCGAATCTTTTTCCAACGTGTCACTACCATGAAGTTGGACGTTACCAAACAATTCAGCACCAGGCTGGACCGGGTCAAAGGCATTGACTTTCACCCAACGGAACCCTGGGTGCTTATCACTTTGTATAATGGCAAAGTCGAGATTTGGTCTTACGCTACCAACACGTTGGTCAAGCTGATCCAAGTCACCGACAGTCCAGTGCGTTCGGGTAAATTTATTGCTCGAAAGAACTGGATTGTGGTGGGCTCAGATGACTTTCAAATCCGCGTCTACAACTACAACACTGGTGAAAAAGTCACCCAATTTGAAGCCCATGCTGACTACATTCGTGACATCGCAGTGCATCCAACCAAGCCTTTCGTTTTAACCCTGAGTGATGATTTAACTATTAAATTGTGGAACTGGGATCGTCAGTGGCTGTTGGATCAAACCTTCGAGGGTCATCAACATTACGTGATGCTGGTGAACTTCAATCCGAAGGATCCCAACACTTTCGCTCTGGCTTGCTTAGATAGAACCGTTAAGGTTTGGCTGTTGGGCAATCCGAACCCCAACTTCACTATGTTGGCACATGATATCAAGGGCGTCAACTATGTTGATTATTACCCTCAAGCAGACAAGCCCTACTTGATCACCTCATCTGATGACAAGACCGTTAAAGTTTGGGATTATCAAACAAAGCTGTGTGTGGCAACTCTTGAGGGTCACGTACTGAATGTCTCGTTTGCAATTTTCCACCCGGAGCTTCCGATTATTGTGTCTGGTTCGGAAGACGGTACGCTTCGTTTCTGGAACGCCAATACTTTCAAATTGGAGAAACTGATCAACTACTCTTTGGAAAGAGCTTGGTGTGTGGGTATTTTGCCAAAGCTGAACCTTGTCGCTGCCGGGTTTGATTCGGGCTTTGCCATCATTAAACTTGGTAATGAGGAACCACTCTTTTCGATGGACTCTCAAAATAAGATTATCATGGCCAAAAACCTGGATGTATATCAATCGATCATTAAGCCTCTGGCTACTGATGGGTTGAAAGATGGGGATACTATTCCTCTTGTTCAAAAAGATTTCGGCACCATTGAAGTTTATCCCCAATCTTTGGCCCACTCTCCTAATGGAAGATACGTTGCTGTTTGTGGTGATGGCGAATACATTGTTTACTCACTGTTGGCATGGAGATCCAAGCAGTATGGGCCGGCTCTTGACTTTGCCTGGAACTCCATGGACACTACCAATGCTTGCACATACGCTACAAGGGAATCTTCAACCCTGGTCAAGATTTACAAGAATTTCAAAGAGAGTTCTGTTGTTGATCTTGTATACCAAGCTGACAAAATATTTGGTGGCGCCCTCCTTGGTGTAAAGCTGGAAGGTTGCATCTCTTTCTATGATTGGGAGCTGGGTGCTTTGGCTCGACGTGTGGACATTGATGACGACATTAACGACATTGTTTGGCTGGCAGATGGTGACTTATTGGCTATTGTCACTTCCCAAGCTCAAAGCGCAGATGCTAAGGGTACTACTGTGGCTCATGAGACATACTTCTTGTCATACAATGCTGACATGTTTGAAGAAGCTCTTGCTGCTGATGCACTTGATGCTGAAGAAGGTGCAGAGCTGGCGTTTGACGTTCTCTATACATTGCCCACTCTGGAACAAATTTTGAGTGGCCGATTTGTTGGTGATGTATTTGTTTACACCACTGGTTCGACCAATCGTCTCAATTACTTTGTCGGTGGTGAAGTGATCAACTTGGGCCACTTTGATCACAAATACTACATTTTGGGCTACAAGGAAGCCGAAAATACTTTGTTCTTGATTGACAAACTGTTCAACGTCATTCCTTGGTTCATTAATGAGAAAATGCTAGTATTACAAACCATGGTGATGCGGGGTGAACTCGAACAATATGCTTCTCAGACCACCGAAGTCGAAGGTGAAACAATCCCCGATGTTAGTCAAATTACTTTGGATGATATCAGCCAGGAATATCAGGACATGTTATCTGGATTTTCCAAAACTGAACTCAATCAGTTGCTGCGCTTCTTTGAAAAGTTAGGATATTTGGGTTTGTCCTTTGCTCTCTCCCAGGATTTCGACTCTAAGTTCGAAATTTCTCTTCAAACTGGCAATTTGGCTCGTGCTTTTGAGTTGTTAAATACCTTGCAGTCGGAGCAGCCTTCAACTGCATTGAGCAACACCACTAAATGGAAGAAGTTGGGTGACTTGGCACTTTCGAAGTGGAAGGTTGGTTTGGCCCTGGACTGCTATTGGTTGGCAAAAGATTATGCCCTGTTGTTGTTGATTTTATCTTCATCTAACAATTCTCAACAATTATCTCGCTTGGCACAAGAATGCGAGGACAGCGGCCGGTATAATATTGCCTACCAAGCCTGGTGGCTTGTGGGAAACAAAGAGAAATGTTTCGACTTGTTGTGTAAGCTGAAGCGTTACACTGAAGCTGCTGTGTTTGCCAACAATTACAATCTTGAAACTAAAATTCCTGAAGCACTCTCTTTGTGGAAAAAGCTGCTTGAGGAAAAGCAGAAGACTAAAATTAGCGATCGATTAGTTTCAGATTTCTCGCTGTTACTGCTTGCTGACACTAAAACGCAGGTAACCGAAGATTTACCAAAAGAGAAAGTTACCGAGATTATCCCTGAAGATCAATTAGTCGAAGACGCATTGAAAGAAGAGGCTATTGAGAATATTATTGACGAGAAGGTAAAAGCAGAATACGCTAAGGAAGCGCCATTACTTGATTTGGACACCCCTGCCGCTGATGAAGAACCTTCTTTGATTTAAATTTTGTACGTCACAACATAACTAAACGATGAAATAGTAATAGTAAATCCTGATTTATACTGACCTATGCCTCAAAGTTTAGCCGCTTCCCACGGTGATGGAAGTGGTGGAGGTTCAGTCACCTTATCTTTGCAAACGAATATGTGGTCGTTGTGGTCTCTTTCGTAAACGACGTCACCGAATTCATTTTCTAGTTTATCACGAAGTTCTCGTGGGGGAGCCTTAGTTAAACGGCCCATTCTGACTACTAGCAGCCCACCCAAACGAAGCACACGACGGGACAAAAAGTAAGATGCCTCCGCTAAGTTTGCTGCTGCCACATTCACGTCCGTCATCGGCTTTTGTAATGCTTTGTTGGTGTTGAGGCGCATGTGAGGTCGTGAAATGGTATTCGAATAAAACCCGTACAATTGTGAAAAAGGCATACCCAAATCGCTCAATATGAGATCAACTGGCTGGTTGAATGTGGCTATGTGACGTGCCACGATGTCATGTGTGAGTTTCGAAAATATGTTGCCCTGGATGCACAGCATACCTTTCACGGGTGGAGTTGAAAACAAGATGTCAACCCCTAATAGGTGGCAAGTGTCATTAAACTTATCCTCCTCAATTCTGTGGACGTCACATAGTCGAAACTTGGAGTATTGACTCCAATTTCCGGGGGCATACCCCACATCAATCACGGTTTTGACCTCCGGGGTAAAAAGATGATGCTGCTGATCTAAGCGGTGGAGCTTGGCCTGCATTGCCATACAAACAGCATCAAACGTACGCTCCCTTGGCAGACGTTTACTGTGGATGTCGGCATGTGTGGCAAAGAGTCGAACTTGCGTTGAGCAAAACGTTCGTAGACGCGGTGATGGCATTTAGTTCTGGTGCGCCTTGCGAAACATCTTGAATATCTTACAACCATTTCAGATACATGTTCAAACGTCAAATCAGCGATGATTTTTCATTTGAGGATGACGTAAATTTTAATTGTTAGTAGTCACACTTTGTGCATGTCATAATCCCAATTGATTTATTATCTCTATAGAACCCCTACAAATCAATTCCCATCCAAATGTCTCCCAAGTAATCAAACATGGCCGTTTGCTGTTTCTCAAACTGGAAAACTCTTCCAATGTGCTTATTAGGAGCACCTTTGTGTGTACCACCAACTTGAGAGTAAGCGCAGTACATGTAACCAGAGCAGTAACCCCATTCCTTGAACCATCCCTCCTTTGCTTCATCTTCGTCGTTCGGAAATGACATTTGCTGTCGAGACACAAAAGGAGGAATTATAGCAGCTCTTATCCGCATTCGACCGGTAAAGTAGCTCTTGAACTTCTCAACGGTATCTAAATTCGAAAAGCGAGTCTTTTTGTTGGCTTCTTTTTCGAAGTTCACGTCAGGTTTCGAGCAGAATTGGAAACCCAGATTGAACCATACAAGCGAATCATCCTCATCCAGCATATGCGCCGGATGGTTCAGGCATACCTCACGAGATGCTCTAGGTTCGCCAAATCTGTTCTTATTGTCAGTTTCAAGAGACAACTCTCCGATACCGGCAGCTGCGTAGTTATCAAACTCGTATTGTTCATCTCCATTAAGTGCAAACCCAAGCCAGATCAATTCTTTATCCCCGGCAGACCTTTGTGCCGTCGGTTCGTGGAGGAATAACTGCATCATAAAGAGAACCAGTGAGTAATGGAGGTTACGGTCGATCGTTACAACGCCCAGCTCCATGTAGTGCTCCATACCATCAAAGTATGCACGCTGCGTTGTGTAGTTCGATATGGGCATTAACCCAAACATCAGAGCTTCTACTTTCCCGGGGCTCATGGCTTTCATGAATTCTCCATCCTCAATTGGGCGATAAAATGAAGCAGTTCTGTCCTTGTAGAAGAACGCCCCCGTCTTTTTGTACTTGGGTTGATCGAAAAACCACAGAGGGGGTTTTACCAAAACGGTGTCTGCATCGAGCAACAAGAATTCCTCAAATGAGTTGAACGTGGTGGCCAAAAATTTATTACCAAACTTCTTGAACCTTTCGCGGTAGTTTTCGTCAATCGCCTTGTTCACGCTAACAAACCAAATTTCTTGTGCAGGTAATCCTACAGGGCGTCCTTTCTCGTCAATATTGCCAAGATACTCCTTGCTGAAACGATCTCTCACCGATTCAAACGTGGGTGGTAAATCCAACATTACATCTCTCGCAGCCTTGACAAGCCTTTGCTTGGAAGTTTCGGACAAATTATCGAAGTATACGATCTGAATCGGAAGGCGATTTTCCAACGCACGCAATAACCTCACTAAACTGATGGTCTCCTCGATGTGGAGATCTCCGATACTCAAGACAATACCTTGGCCATTCATTTTGTGCTTGAACTCATTCAAAAAACACAGCAGACGCTGGATCAGTGAATGCCAATTCTTCGACAGCTTTGCTTTCCGCAGTTTTTGAGCCGTACTGTTGGTAGGGGTATACTTTGGGACCAGGTCAATTTTGGCATAGTTTGGTGGCTCGAATTGTATTTTTCCATCCCATCTTTCAAAGATGGGAAATTCTCTCAGCATCCAAGGATATACGCGATTTTCGATCAACTTGCATGATTCGATCTTGGCAAACATGGAGTCCGAGGATGACAACGAAGGCTTCTCGGTTTTCCCTAAAAGTTTTCTTTGTCGGCTTACCATGTTTGAAGTGGCGGCGACATCCAATTCATTATCCAGCGTTACGTAGCACTTATTGAAAACTCTCACTGCACTCAAAATGTCCCCTATCTCTGCTTTGGTAATGTTTGTCTTGGCCTTCATCAACTCGAACTCCGACTTAGCAAACTCAAGGTATTGCTTGTCCTCTTTGAGAGGTTTAAACTCGTCAGCGTCTGGCTTCGGCAAATTCTTCACTTCTTTGAGAAACTTCTTCATCACGTCTTTGTTCTTGAAGAAATCAGCAAATTTCTGTTCTTTCCGGAAGTCAGTGTAAAATTTATGCTTAAGATTGATGGACCACGTTTTGTCTGAGGCAAACAAGTTGGAGAAGTATAAATCACATCGCTGTGAGAAATCGAGATTACCGATAATCAGGCCGGGTCCGTTGCGGCTGAATATATCATTGTACACTCTGGCATGTTGGTCAAATGAGGCTCTAGTATCCAGTTTGTTGAATACTGTAAATGATGAGAGGATCTCAGTGTTATTGACGAATGCTAACATTCGGTTGGTTTGGTGAGTCAGCTCACTCAACACATGCTTGGGGTCACTCTTATCTGGTTGGGTTTTGTGAACCTCGTTGTCGCTGGCTCGGAACTCGCTGAAGGTGTCATGATGAATTGATACCACCTGGGCATCATGATGAGTATATTGGGCAAACACATATAGGTTGACGATAGCTATCACAGTAAGCACTGCCAACCATAGATGTAACCTCCGTCGACTGAACACTCTTGACATGATCGTGACAACGAGAAGGGTAGGGATGCAGGCTAGAGATGGAACTGAGAATTGGAACGGGGCTTTTACCATGCATGATTCTCTGGAGGAACACAGATGCATCAAGCGCGACGACAATAGTGTCTTGTGAGGAGATACCTAATCAGCGCAAGTACTTCGGGGAGTGTTTACTCAACGTGGACTAAATGTAAATCAGTGAATCATCGTGAGTTTGATTCGTTAGGATCTGTCCAGCTCCTTTTTTTACGAAATCTTTATAGTTTATTGTTGCATGCTTACCCTCGCGACTAATAGTACCTCGTATCGCTACGTTCAAAAAGACTGCGGCGATTTCTGGAGACGATAAATATCCGTGGAAACCAAACTAGTTGAGGACGCGTGATGGCCGTGAATTTCAAATTTGATCGAGCATTGGTTGAGATTGTGCCATTAGATGAAGAGGCTGTGGAAGCATTATGCTTCATGACTACAAACCACTCGCATTCATTCCTGAGCAATCGTAGATTTCTATCATGAGCCAAGAATGGCGCTATTTTGTGAACACCACATGACCCTCGATTGTTGATCTAAGCAAGACTCAAAGTCAGATTTAACTATTGTTCGAGAGATTCAAGTCTAAACCACAAATGTGGGAATTGGGCTGGTTGTATACGGCTAGCAAACAAATGCTCGAGCGACAACTTGACCAACCTTGTTGATGAAGTTTACAGTCATCACTGGCTTTGTGTCTTTTCTCGTATAAGTTCAACTCGGCTTGGTATGAGGGAAAGATTCTATCGAACGACATTCACGCACCACATTAGGGTTACTACCCTAATTTTCGCGTTTCCACGTGATATTCGATTTCCATGCGCGCAATGCGACCAAATTTTTATTAGCGAAAAACTCTGAACCACCTTAATACAACCAATCAATCAGTATGTTACGCTGCCAAAGTGCGGAAATATTGTCTTGTTGAGTTGCCCTACCCTTAATCGATGTGTTGACCTTATTTTGTTTGCCTACTTCCACCCGGAAAGCCCTTTCTTCCCAGACAGATGGACATCGAATTTGCATCCTCGATACGGTTGTGACGATCGATGAAGGTATCATCGCCTCCAAGACATAATATTCCGTTCATCCCAAGACTCATCATCAAAATACTAACTATTTAGTGGCTCACGAATCGGTTTGGTACTCGCACCCCAGAAACTACGGTAAGGGCTCTAGACAATGCCGTGTGTGCTCGTCGCACTCCGGTTTGGTCAGAAAGTACGGCATTGACATGTGCAGACAATGCTTCAGAGAAAAGGCCACTGACATCGGCTTCAACAAGTACCGTTAATGTATTTTATAGAATATAGTAAGTAAAGGTAATAGGATATTGTTCTATATGACACTTGAGTAAGGCTGATGAAATAAATCGGGAGTAACTGATGTCCTATGGTTTTTGCAAATGACTACTACAAAATTCAAGTTGTAAAACTGATACGGAGACAGACAAGCTACTGGTGGTTCGATATTGCCCATTTATCGACATTCACTCTCCATAATAGAGGCAAACTTCCTTATGGGACATTGGTCTAGGGAACGAAATTATCAAATTTTTTGATATGGCAACTAGGTTAACTTGACAATTTACATTAACCTGTCGTGGCAAATGTTCCCATTAACTTTTTGATTACCGTTTATAGTGGCATCGCACTTTGTTTTATACAATCGCTAGGTCGTGTACCTTACCAAAACTCGAATGTGCAGGAGATTTTGACACATCGTGATTGAACTAAGTTAGGGTTGGATGTTGTCATTCGTACACTCATTAAAATTAATATTCATCTGATTGAGCCAGCTCAATCAAATATTACTATGCCAGTGACCTCTTACATCTTCGATGTCTATCCGTAGGATGAGCAATGATCTTAATAAAACAATCATAGTGATGAACAGAGCCATGCCCACGGGGACCACTGCAAATACAACGATTTTGTAAAAGTCAAAAAATCGTCTTCGTTTCTTTCCCTTGACATCGATATTGCTTGTGATAAAATTTTGGACAGTGTACAATAACGTTAAAGCGCAACTGATCAAAATCCATATGTGCAATCCATACGTGTAACCTTGAGCCAGGAAAGTCGACACTAAGTACAGCTCCAAAGCTATTAACATAATCAGCATCAGAAGTACACGGACAATAGCTGCACTCGTGCTATATGTCACAATCCATCTGACTAATAACCCATCGATCACAGCATAAGTCAAGAATGCGCTCACAATGCACCATACACCAGTCAAAAAATGCTCCAGCACTCGTGCCAGGGTTAGCGATGTGTTCAATATAGCCTCCAGGCTACCTTCATGGCCAAAAAAAACTTGTTTCCACAGTTGAAAAAGACCCCATAAAGGTGTAGATAACGAGATGTCGCGACATAGAGCCAACGCTGTATGTTGCCTAGCGTTCAAAAACTTAAGGCCCAATTGCTTGATCCGTTGCGCCCGTTCATTTTGGATGTGTTGCTCAGTTTGTGATATCCTCCGTGGTGAAGGCGGCACGTTGGCCACCAGGTTCTGCAGCAGCAGTGACAGCAGAGGTTCCAAAGTCATTGCCTGGGGTGCAACATATGAATGCCGCGCAACAGGCATGGCTGGTGCTCTCTGTACTCCCGAGCTGTGTTGTAATTGGCTGTCTTCGTAACTGGGAACCTCCTCCAGAGGATACAGTGGTGGGACACTCAGTGACACTCGCCTGTCGACGCCTGGCATCGCTGAAAGCGTCAGCGCTGATTGAGACCGGGGTAGATGGCTTTCATTGCTGATGCGAACAGCAGTAGAATAGTCCTCCTCCACCTGATGGGATTCAAGCGGTACATCGAATCGCCGTCGAAACGAGTCGCGGAGTCCCATTGCGCTATTCAAATGACCTCTTGAAAACGTTGAGAAAAACAACTTCCGAGGTGAGGATAATTGTCGTCACATATAAACGCAAGCACATAAGGCAATTTTAGCAGTGGGGTATATGGTGGGGAAATATACACAGTGATGCTATCTTCAAAGTCCACCAATTGATATTAAAAATTTTACGTTAGCCTTCAGAAAATGTCAGAATTAGTAGAGAAACTGAGTCGTTTGAAGGTATAATGGATGAACTGTCTGGCATCATCAACATAAATCTGCCCCACAATTGTTTCGAGTTCGGAGATGACAATGGTGATTTCGGTTACAAAACCGAATCTGTCTGAAGTGGTAGGTCATGCACACTAATCTACCAGGATAGGCTATTGTAACTTACACCGTGTGACCTTTGAACGTTAGGGTGTAAGTCATGACCCAGTTTCATTTCAAAATTTTAGTGGGTTACAGAAAGCTTAAGCCTTAACGGTGTTAGCTGACGTAATAAATCAGTTAGGGTATCTAATTGAAGAATTAAGCGGTTTCTAAAAGATATGTATTGAGGCGGCAACAAAATAATTAGATGGCTTCCAATTGTTGCGAGATTTCATCCAACTCAGACTTGGCGGCATTGTATTGTTCAGACAATTCCTCGTACTTGCGTTCCCATTCTTCCTTTTCGGATTCCAACGAAGCCACCTTTCTTTCAAGTTGTTCAGCCTTGATGTCGGTCTCTCTCAACTTTTCGGTAGTTTCCTTCAAGTTCTTGTCAGCTTCTTCAAGTTCTTCTTCCAAGACTTGGTTCTTCTTGGTGTAGTTGTCATTCGAAGTCTTAAGAGAGTGCGATTCATCAGCGGTGTGCTTAATCTCTTCGAGGTCGGTTTCAAGCTTCTCAACTTGTTCTTCCAAGACTTGGTTCTTTCTGGTGAGAGCCTGGATCTGGTGGTCCTTTTCAAGAATTTCTTGTTCAAGTTCCTTGACCTTTTCGGCGAGCTCATCAGCACGTTCTTGGTGCTTTTCGCCCTCCAACTTCAAGTTGTTCATTTTCTATAGTTAGTCATTGCCCTTGATTCCCTTATGTGTCTTTCAAATCGTGATCTCCGTGATCTCAAATGTGAATGATCCACATTACGTGTCATTCACTAATAGAGCCTGGATTGTAACGACGTCAATCGTGGTGAAGGAACGAGAGTAACAGTCGTTGCTAATCCAGACTCTGTAGCTAGTCTCCACAATGGATCCGGCGAATACTTACTTCCTTAAGCTTCTCCATGTTTGATGTATGTGTTAGTGGTTAGAAAAATCAAAACTAATGGTTGGGCGGTGCGTTTTTATTTTGACGATGCAGGTCATGAACAGCGAAGCATGATTTTGGCGACGGGCGAGCAGTCCACAAGATAGATGCTGAGCTTGCGTTTATTGTCAATGGCATAATTACCTAGCCTACAACACGATTGATATGCCTTTTCCACGTCTTCTACGCTGAAGCTAGAGTTGATCCATGCTTTGGAGATCACCCACCCACCCCCTAATTGGTAATTTTCAGACGCGCTCGATTTTATGACGATCACATATCAGGTGTCGTTAAACGATTCCGCGTCGTTCGGTGGTGCATAAATGATCACCACATCCATGTCACAGGCTGGAGATTGTCAGTATAGCCAGCATAATATCAACTCCTTGATTTTTTACAGCTCCAAGGGTGACGCGTCACCATGGATCAAACGCCACCAAAGTTGATTACATCACCATCGCGTCTACCTTGGATTCAAATCTGAAGCAGATGACAATTGCGATTATGTTAGTGAAATGAGTCCTAGGTTTAGCCACACGATAAAGGCATCACTAAAGTTATTGCCACATGCACCATGTAACCCTAAATGGATTCCTTGGGTTTATGGTTTATGCGGTATTTGACACAAAACCTCACACGGTACTCTTATCAGTTTTGAGTCAGTAATCACATACAAAGTCGTGTAACTGTGGGGGCCGTCCTCAAATTCTACCGTCCTTCAAAAGTTGGAATCTTGAAAGGGTGAATTTTCAAGTATTCGAATTATGCTACACGCTTGACAATGTCGCATGACTATAAAGCAAAATTGATCTCATTCCATGCAATTATGGGTGCTACCAACCTCGTTAATTTAGATGTTCCGCCGTAATATCATCGAGATACCTCTGAAGTGGGAACAAGGATGTTTCATCGAGCCAGCATCTCCAAGTAATTGCGCGCCCGCCTCTCTTTATCAAGTAGGATCCATTCTCTTCTCGGCCACAATTACATACTTCTGCTGTGAAATGAACCAGGAGGTGGCTCTTATTCCAATCCTTTTCGATAGATAGAGCACGTACTACTTGTTGGCCTACTCCCTCCCTATTGCTGTCAATCTATATATTTTGGTTAGGAAGCCCTCCTCTCGCTTAAAGCGGCGTCACCTGCACGTCGCCAATACATTTGAGCACAGAGCCAGCCACTTCAATATTGTCTCTCCACACATCCACAAGCAGTCTCGAGAAGATTTTTCGATACCGCACTCATCGTTGGCTGTTTGACCCAGCATGAATCCTCCCGTGATGCCAGGCTCATCCCTGGAACGGTCGACCATGCCACGCCACAATGAGGGTAACGATCAAGAAGAGATGCGGGAAAGTTCAACTGAAGACGTCTCACAGCGGGGAATTGAGACAGTTGCCGTCCATGACGAACGGTCGTCTGGCAATGTGGGCAACGTGACAACAGTCGTGGAGGCAATGCCTTCACCTCCTATGAGAAGTGCTTTGTTTGATCAGTCTTCGCTGATATATGATTCACCCCGACGAGTACTGGTTCCCAGTGGCTCACTGCATCCCATATTCGACACTCAACTGGAGGGGCTGTTTGAATTTCATACTACTCATACCGCAGTGATAGCCCGGAGACCAGAACAATCTCCTCGACTCAGTGTATCGTCTCTGAACTCGTCACGAAGTCCCCAGCTTTTGGAAAAACTGGAAAATGATCCCAAAAATGACGGTGATTCTCTTGTGCGTCCTCTTACTCTGTACCGTGAGCCAGAAAGACATACACCCACTGTTCGTGAAACTTCAGGAGAACCGCTGTCAGTGCTACCTGAGAGGGTTGATTTCCCGGAACCTCAGGTACACCTTCCAGAAGAGCCATCAGTGCCAATGCGACTGATTGAAAACACAACTGGTAATTCGTCCGATACCCCTTTACCACCACCAGATAGGCGGATTGTGGACCGGGATCCCCAAAGATTGCTGGCCCTGCTGAAACGTTTGCTGAAGGGAACCATGGCTGAAACACCACTTTTGGTTGCAGCGGAGAGGTCTCCTCAAATTACACATAACGGGTCCCCACCTAAAGACAGCCGGCTCGCCCTCCTCAATACAGAGAGCGGCTATATCCTGCCTTATCTGCTGGAGCTGCTCGGATCATCCAATTATGGCACAGCCGAGATTTTGACTCAAGTAAGAACGCCTCCAAATAACCCTGCTACGCAAGGATCTAAAAGAGTGGCTATAAACCCTTTCGATGTCTTGTATGAGTCAACCCTGAATCTCAATGGCAATTACCGTAACAGTACCACATCGGCGGAAACTCAATACCGTCGTGTTCAACTGGGGGTAGCACAAAAGACTGCGCATAGAAGAGTTATACTGGAGCTGGCTCCAGTGATCACCATTATTGATCCATCCCCACAGCGACAGGGACTGGTGATATCGAGACTGGCGACATTACGCAACCGTAATCTGATAAAGAAGCGTAATAAAATGATCAAAAAGAATGATTTGAAAAAAGCTGATGAATTCAATGGAAAGTCAAAGCCTACTAGTTGGCGAATCCGTATACGTCGGTATTTGTTTCCGATCCGTCGACAGAGCCTGTTAAAGTACCGTGCCATCAGAAATCAAAAGCCTGATTATAACACAGACGTTGAACTTGCTCGAGCGTTGTCTCGCACCAATGCAGCTAACGTGATCAAATACCTATTACCAAATGAAGCAGACTTCTACCGATACCACCAACTCTTCCGGGCGAACCCTTTACGCCAGTGTTCCAGGTACAAGGTGGTCACGGGTAAGCTGGGATATTACGAGATAGCACCGAAACCAGCGATGCAAATTCTGGCGCCACTTAAAGACTCCTTTCGAAAAAATGGCGAACCCATCACGGTGTCAAACATTAACTTGTATAATACCGTGTATCTGCGATATCGTCAGGAAGTCTTCAATGGTAACTATCAAACTGTACCGCAGTTTCAGCAGATCTTTCCGAATGATTTGAGTCTTCTACTGACTAATGAAGTGAATCGGGCTAATCGAACAATTCTACTCGAGTTATTGTTGAGACGAACGGTTGCCGCCAAAATCGAATATAGACTCAAAAAGTTTGGGATTCCACAGCGATCTGCTCTGTCTTCACTGGGTGATTCACTGCTTACAAAGCCCCATGACCGAGTAGGCACTGACACGTTCAAAGTTTCCGACGCGGGACCTCCACCATTGACCAAAGATAATGGATCAGATCTTAATGATGATGAAGATATTGAACTGATTAATACTGACGTCATTTTACAACACAATGCTGATTTGCTATCAGAATTGTTACCGCTGCCTCAACTTACTGAAGCTCTGAGTTTCGGTTTGGGCGTGTTAAAGAGTGGTCTGGGACCTAGTTTATTGCGACCTACAGTGCCACTGCCACATCTGTATGCTTTGGCTTCTGCTGAAAATTATCAAAATTTAACTGAACCGCAAAAACTTGCAAGTCGCGAGAGGCAAAAGGCAGGATTTCTTGACGATGCAGTAGCACGTCTGGGTTTGTATCAGTTGCGGCCGGTTCCGCGGCTGGAAGCCACTCTGTCATCACTGAGCCTGAAGTCTATTCTGCATGACCAAAATCTGATGCTCCGATTCATGTCACTGCTGAATCTCAGCAACTCCTCGAAGAAGAAATCGCTGGTGCTGACTGAACGAAGAACACTTGTTGACCTGGCGTCAAAAAAGACGCCACCCTTATCTTTGGAGATGCTGGATTACGCCAAGCTGTTTGAAACGGGTGACGAAGCTGTTGTGGCTGTGAAGTCTATAACTGATCGCCCAAAGTCCCATTCGCCTTTATCCTCGCATGCGTTGCACTCGCATGAGTTGCACATACTGTCGTCAGTGGAATACCGAAATCACTTGATGACACATGTCGTTGAGGAACCTCTGCGGGTGGAGATCAGACTGATGAAGGGACTGCTTATGGAAGCTCTGAGCACAAGATGGCTGGGACTGCAACAACTGGAGCTGCCTAATAGAAAGCCACAATTGGATGTTATCAACTCGAGCGAGTTGATTCGAAGTTACGAGATCTAATAGAGTAATACAGAGTTGACTATTTCTTCGATCACGGTGACTATGAACTTGAGGATCACAAAAGCTTCAGATGCTTGATATCACGTCTCAATCTGAACATCACCACTAAAATTAAAGCCAACAAGATAATTACAGGTAATAACACCCACCGGAATATTGTCAGTACTATCGCTGATTCCAGTTGCGAATCACCGAGGACCTGGGGAGGTTGTAAGTTTGCCAACTCTTCATGATGACTCATAAGCAAATCCATCTGCTTGGTCAAAGTATCAACTGTATGCTGATGCTCCCTAACCTCACCCACAAGTCTATCATTGAGCTCTTTAAATGCTCTGAGCATCTCGCTTTCGTATTTGACGATCTCTTGGCGAAACTCATTGAACTGTAAAGTTATAGCCAGTCCATCGGTGCCCAGTCCTCCGCTACCACTTGCAAGCTGTTGGACCAAGCTGTCGATTCGGTTTTCAAGGCTCAGTACGTGTGAGAGAATCTCTTTTAATTGAGGTTGAACCAATGAATCTTGGTGTTTCTGTTCTTGTTGCTGCTCAATAAATTGTCTTTGTCTTTCCAAGACTGACTCTTGCGGAGATTTGGCGTTTTGAGAAGCTACAATGGTCTTAAACTGAAGTTTAAGCTTTCCATCCTCGATCAAACCATGATCATCGATGGCGTCTTGTGTCAAGTGGTCCCAAACATTTAACTTGAAAATCTCATACTCCTCACTTGATCCCAGCAGTGCCGAAATCCCCAAATGCAATTTCTGTCCATGCGGTATAATGATTTTGTCTGTGCGGAAACATAAGTTATTGTCAATCTGCACCTTGAAGATATTTGTTGCTTTCGTGTAGGATATTCTAAGTGTGAAAGGAACCAGCGAGTCCAAGTAGTTGAATCGACATTCACCAAGAGCGTTCGCGGAACCAGGTTCAATGGGTGTTTGACCGTCGCCATTGAATATAGCCAAACCACGAATGTCAGCACCAGAATTCAATAAGAACTGAAAACCGTCAAATTTGGCGGGACCGCCATAGTTCGAAGTGTCAGTTTCACGTTTCGAAGTAAGCCACAACGCCAATCCATTTGTAGTGGCAGTGTTAGCAGAATCGGACGAAATTCCCAGAGTTCTGAAGGTGAGTTCCATAACCCATTCATTGTCAGTGTTTGCAAGCTCTTTTTCTTTCCAAATAGCCCCATTCTGTACTAGGAGTCGACCCTGATCATAGCGAATATCACCTGTCAGTCTCCAACCACTTTTGGTGATATCGTTGATCGAATTGACGGAAAATAAGTTCGGGAGTGACTGGGGACCTGGCTCATCATGAGCATACACGCCTGCCACCAATATAGTCGTAACAGCGGCGACTATCGGTGAGATCAATCGCATCAATCTGATATATCGACGTGTCTGTAATTCAAAGTCGCGAGGCACACATTTGGATCGCTTATGTAACCAGGCGATCGACACAAACGATCAAACTCGAGCACATGATGTACATAGCAAGGGACCCTAAATAGAAGGTTCAAAATTCGTACAATTCAAAAATGTACCATTGAAACTTCGAAATTCCTGAAATCAAATACAAATTATGATTAATATTCGAACACTAAAAAATCTTATACCTTCAATAATACACAATTCTGAAGTTCGCATGCTTTTTCACAAAATCCAGAAAATTTTCGTACGTCAATCTATTCTTTACAGTTGTAAGGTTCGAATTCGACTTGCGTATTTTGTAAAATTTTGAATCAAAGAATGGGACTCAAATACATTGCAATACATAATCATCGTTAATTATACATGTTTCATAGCTTCAGTTGTCTACGGTACTAGCGCAGAGAGCAGCGCCGACTCCCGAACCATCCTTGGCGATGCGCAAGTAGACCTTCTTGTTGAGACCCTTCAAAGCGTCAATCATACCAAGACCCTCGTAGACGCGATCTTGGAAACCAGGGTAAAACTCAACAACCAGACCATCGCAGCCAACTTCGAAATCTCTATCGTCATCCTTGTAGCGGTCCTTGACTCTTGAGACAATGGCAGCAATCGGAATTGAAGATAATAATCCAGCACGCTTAGAGATGGCACGAGTAATAGCTCTGATGGCCAATCTTTCCTCGAAGGTGGTAGTCAATCTCAACTCATTTTCAAGAATGAGACCCGACATTCTAAGTTCGGTGGAGTCGTCAATTTCAAGGTACAGCAAAACTTGAGAGTCTAACTGCCACGGTTCTTCCAAACGATGGGGAAGACTACCGCCACGTTCTTCCTTAAGCTTCGCAAATAATTGGCCATCATCAGCAAGGCACTTGAGGGTCACACGCAACAATTCACCGAGGAACATACCGGAAATACGCTTTTCAAAACGATGATAGCCCTTGTTAGCGGTTTCTGAATCGACAATAGTGTCAAATCTGTTGCTTGGCAATACTTGCAAAGTGTTGTCGAAGGAGCCCCATTCGGTATTGATAACCATGCCATTTCCTGGGACATCAATCTTTTTGATCTTGTCGGCCAGCTCAAAGTATGCACCATTTGTACCAGTACCGAAAATACACCCAATGACGGTATGAGCATTCGACTTGGAAATATCATTGGAGTAAGCTCTCAGTAATAATGTACCGACAGTGTCATTGGCAAGGGCCACAACATCAACAGGGGCGTCCAATTCATCCAATTGAAGTTGAAACAACTCAACAATGTCCTTACCAACGACGTTAGGCAAGTCGAAACCCTTAGTCCATCTGAGGAGGGTACCTTTGTCTAAAGCCTGTTGATTGACAGGGAATGAGAAAGTGAACCCAAGCTTTAAACGACCATCAGTAGCACACGAGTACTCGGCGTGGTGTTCATTCAAAAAAGCGCTAACTTTTTTGGCAAGATAACGGAAGAGCTCCAAGCCTTGATTACCCTTCATGAGCTCAGAGGGGATTCTCGATTTCGACTGAGTTAACGAAAAGGTGTGGTCGCCATTGAGTCTCACCGAGCACACTCTGAAGTTGGTACCACCAAGGTCACCAGCAAGGTACAAACCATTCTCCTTTCCCGTAGGAATTCGACTGACGAAGGTGGGGATCATGGGCATGCACTCTCTCTTTTGTTCCTTAGAGGTCAAACCTTCATCCATCAGCTTGATGAATGCATCAAAAGCATCACAAAGCAATTTCTTGTCGACGGCATAATCCTTTTCGACTTGGTCGATGCAAGCTTGAAGTTGGGAATTCATTCTGTGCTATATGGAGCTGACTCGAGACATTTTGTATCGCGCACCCGGAAAATAGCAAGCCGTTGCAGCCCGTGTACAGCGGGGAAGAAGAAGATGGATTATAACGCGTTTCAGAAACTGCAGAAGAGGCCTCGATCTCGAGGGAAAGTGCTTTAGCGAGAGTAACAAGTGATCACTGGGAGGTATTCTTACATAAAATTCGTCATTATCCTCGAAGCATTTGACGCTCTTCGTCGTCACAGATCTTGGTGAGCATTGGCTGCGTGGTGCTTTGAATAATTCAAGACAATTGCAACCCTAAATCTATATTTGTGAGAATTCTATTTAATGATTGGCTATCATATTTACAACGAGATACATTATCATGGCGCTCCGTGTCCAAGGCATTAGTAAGTAATTTGTCAGGCGCAAGCGAATTCTCGAGGAAGTTGATGTTATGCACGGAATCCAATGGGGATATAAGTCACGCAAGAATGGTTATCTTCACTAAACATCAAAGCAGCCCCGACCATCCATTCTATGGTTCACATTTAGTTTCATAGATGCACTCATATCACGAACGTAATGAAGTTGAAAATTTCTACAGCAAAAACGTCGATACCAAATTTCATGCTGCGGCCTTCAAATAATGGAAAGGCTAGAGGTCAAAAACTTATTGTGGCTTTTTGGAATAATGGGAGAAACTATATATCTCACACACATAAGCGGGAAGCCTTGTCTTGATAAATATCTTATTGAAAAACCTGAAGGTACGTTCACGCACGAAAGAGGCCGCCTTGAAGTTTTGGCTTCAATTGCCGGGGCACCTGTATATAGATTTTTCGGCGAATATCATTCCATTTATTTGAAAACCAGTGACAACTATATGGGGAATGATTACATACACGAGTAGTTCCAGGGATCAACCGCATCATATAAATACTTGACCAAGTTTTGTTTATATATCATTCTGCATGGTGTGGAGTTATATGGTTTCCACACGTAAGGTTGCATACTAACACGCTGGTTGCTACGACGACACAACTTTACACCCATGCGGGTGGGGTCGATCCGAGACGATTGAGCACTTAAATATCATTTGCGTAGAGTAGAGAGAGGATGGGCAACGATCTTCCCACGATTTGCAATAGAACTACCGTCAATTGTCCCCACTAAGATCTCTTGTTGATACTGCGACTCCTACCACTGATACTGCGTTGTCAATGCGAGATCGCGGGCCCCAAATCTCTCGGACAGTTGCCTCAGGTGATGTATCGGAAGATAAAACATATATTCCTCGCAGAATCTCACGTATTTCCAGCGCTATGGTAAATTGGTTCCATTGGCTTTTGGCAACGTTCAAAGCAATGGCGTCTCACGTATTCGGCTCCTTGCTGCAGCAGGCCCGCTCAATTTTCGGACCGGCTGCATCTAACTCAGCGACCACTTCCACCCCGACTTCTACGACGACCCACAAAATCATGACTCGTACCATGCTTTTGCGATTGCTGCCTGAAGGGGAGCCATTTGATCAAAAGAATGCCAATGACGTTCTCAGTTTGCCCGCAGTGCCTGCTCCCGAAAAGGGTCCTCTATTTGATGTTATCTTTACAGTGGAGGCTGGTGCCCCGGTATCCTATAAAGCGACGCTTCACATCAATGTACCCAAACCTGGCAAGAATTTCGATCGAAACGCCTTCCAAAGCATTCCAATTGGAAACTCTCTGATAGTGACGGACGTCCGTGTGCCGGTGTCAGTATACGCCCCCGGTGCTTATTGCTGGTACATTACTTATAACGGTGATAAGGAAACCAAGCGTTATTACTTCAATGTGCCTCCTTCGCTCTTTATTGATGGAAAGTACCTTCCTTTCAATGATATCAACATTCAAACAGTTGTGCTGAAGTGGATTGGTGGGAAGAAAACGGAGAGATGGCCTGAAATTTTCAACTACGTTTCCAAAGCTAAGGGCTATAATATGATTCATTTCACGCCTTTACAATACCGTGGCGAACTGGACCTGCCGTATCTGATTTATGACCAACTTGAATTTGACCCGAATATCTTTGATTCAAATGAGCAAGCAATCAACTTCATCCGACAAACGATGAAAAGTAATCATTTGTTGTCACTTACTGATGTTGTATTGAATCATACTGCTAACAATTCGAGCTGGCTCGTCGAGCATCCTGAATCTGGATACAATCAAGTGACTGCGCCTCATTTACGAGCTGCCATTGCTCTTGAGGAGGCTTTGATGAACTTTGACATCGAATCGCTGGGACTCCCTCTTGAGTTGAACTCCTACGAAGACGTATCGAACTTGATTGATGGTTTGAATGAGCAAGTTATAGTGCCTTTGAAGTTGTGGGAGTTTTACGTATTTGACGTCGACGCTACCGAAAAAGCTGTTGCTGCAGCATCTGAAATACCACCCTCTGGCGTCCCTTCCGATATTAAAGGACAACCTGAAGCTTTGGCTAAGTTCGTATTGGAAAATGCAACCCTGAGTGGCAAGATGATTATGGCTGGCCGGTTCGCTAATAAGTTTGACGCCGGAAAACTTAGAGGAATCATCACATCCATCTATGGCCCTCTCAATGATAATGAACTTAAGGAGGCTACGAAAGAGGTGGTTAACATTGTCAACGTTGAGCCTTACAAGATGTTTGACTCTGATCACGCCGAGATTTTGAAGCAACTCAAAGACCGTACTCGATATCTCCGGGTGGACGGAAACGGGCCAAAGTTGGGTTCTATCAGCAACAAGCTGAAGGTGATCGAACCTTATTTCACTGTGGTGAAAGCAAATGACGGCAAATCGTACTACTTGGCCAATAATGGGTGGATTTGGGGAGGAAACCCCCTTGTTGATTTTGCGCTGGACCAACTGCGTGCTTATTTGCGTCGTGAAGTCATCGTATGGGGTGATTGTGTCAAATTACGCTATGGCACTGGCCCCGAAGACTCGCCCTATTTATGGAAGCGCATGACGAAGTACGTTCAAATACTGGCTCGAGTATTCGACGGGTTCCGAATTGATAACTGCCACCTGACTCCTCTTCACGTCGGCGAAGCACTTTTGGATGCGGCAAGAGCTGTGAACCCAAATCTTTATGTCGTTGCTGAATTGTTCTCTGGTTCAGAAGCAATGGACAAAATTTTTGTGGAGCGTTTGGCAATCAACACTCTTATCCGTGAAGCGATGCAAGCACATCTGGCACAAGAATTATCTCGGCTTGTTCACAAGCATGGCGGTAAGCCAATCGGGTCCTTAGCCTGGTTGCCGTTGGATGATTTCGTGTATCCCGCAAATAAGGAACCTTCCCCACTAATGATTGAGTCATATTCCAGAGTGGGTGTGATTCCGCCTATCGTGTCACTGCCTCCACACGCTTTGTTTATGGACTGTACGCATGATAATGAGACTCCCACGCAACGGCGCACTCCTGAGGATACCTTACTGAACGCGGCTCTTGTAGCCTTTTGTTCACTGGCTATCGGCTCCGTACTTGGTTATGATGAGGTTTACCCACACCTTTTGGATGTTGTCGGTGAACACCGTGAATACGCCCTGCTTGGTAATGGGATTGCGGTGGTGAAACAACAGCTCCACGCGATTCGCCATCAACTTGTTGAAGAACTGGAGGATATTAGTCGTGATCATGAGATGTACATTCACCATGAAGGTCAATACATCACCATTCAACGCCATAACGCTCTTACTGGCAAGGGGTGGTTTCTCATCGCTAGAACAAAGTTCGAGCAAAATCCCCCTCCACAAACGTTACTGGTATGCAAGTTGGCAGGAACTACAGCTACTTGTAAATTCGCTTACGTGTTGGAGTGTCATCCACCGGCTCCGAAGAGTGACACCGAAATCTTCGGTATACCGTCAAAGGTTCGGGATATCATTGAGCCTCAAGTCAATCAAACCGACGAAGGCGCCGAGATTCTTACTTCGAATGATAACTTTCCGCCTGGTGCCATTGCAGTTTTCAGCACGGAAATTTCCGGGGTCTCCAAAGAATTGGATGAGTACATTCGAAAAGATGCCTTGGAAGCCTCCAAAGATTTGCTGCTTTTCGACTTGAATAATGTGTTGTTCAAATGCGAAAACGAAGAACGGGAGGCTCTGAAAGGTAGTGATGGGGTGTACGTTATACCTGGAGTTGGTCCCCTTGTTTATGCTGGACTCGAAGGATGGAATTTGGCTATGCGTCAAGTTGTGTGGAACAATGATCTCGGGCTGCCTCTTTGTGATCATCTTCGTGCTGGAACTTGGGCTTGTGATTTTATTGTTGGAAGACTTAACAAGTTCAACTCCTCGCCTGGAGTTGCAAAGCTCCAACAATGGTTACACGATAGAATGGAAAAGATCAAGACAGTCCCGTTTTCCTTGCGTCCTCGCTACTTCTGTTTAGTTGTGGGAATTGCCTATGAACTGGCCCGATTCAGAGCCTTACGTTTGATGTCGCTGACGTGCGTGGCAGAAGCAACCAATTTTGTCCAACGGTTAGCAATGACATCAGTGCAAATGATGGGTGCGCTTCCGGAAACCTCTCTTGTTGTCAAGGAAAATGTACCCTGTATGGCTGCTGGTTTACCCCATTTCGCCTCGGGCTTCATGAGATGCTGGGGCCGTGATGTCTTCATCGCATTCCCGGGTTTATTGTTAGTTACTGGCCGTTTCAAGGATGCTCATGACCATATTATCGGATTTGGCGAGACCCTCAAACATGGTCTTATCCCCAATTTACTTGATGGTGGACGGAACCCAAGATACAACGCTCGCGATGCCACTTGGTTTTACTTACAAGCGATTCAAGAGTATGTTAAATTTGTTCCTGAAGGGTTAAAGATTTTGGGTCAATCGGTGAAGCGCAGATTTCCTAAGGATGATACCTGGATTCCCTACGATGACCCTAAAGCATTTGCTTACTCACTGACTTTGGTAGAGATTATCTACGAGATCTTGAGTCGCCATGCTGCCGGCATTAGTTACCGCGAACATAACGCGGGGCCGCAGATTGATCTGCAAATGAAGGATAATGGATTTAATGTTTCAATTTCTGTGGACTGGTCGAATGGTCTCATTTTCGGAGGCAACCAAGATAATTGCGGAACTTGGATGGACAAGATGGGTGAGCTGGAGCGTGCCGGCTCGAAGGGTGTTCCAGGGACTCCTCGTGACGGTGCAGCTGTAGAAATCAACGGGTTGCTTAAACTGACTTTAAGGTTCGTGAATGAATTGCGCAAAAAGGGTTTGTTCAAATGGGATTCTGTCACAACTCAAGATGGAAAAAAGGTAACTTTTGAAGATTGGGAAAGTTTGGTTCAAGAAAATTTCGAAAAATGCTTCTACATCCCTGAGAATGCCGAGGATGACAAAGATTATGTAATCGACCCAAAGCTTGTCAACCGTCGTGGCATTTACAAGGATTTGTACCGCTCGGGTAAACCTTTCGAAGATTACCAGTTGCGTCCTAATGTTGCTATGGCCATGTGTGCCGCTCCCGAATTGTTTTCTGAGGATCACGGTCGTCTGCACCTCGAAAAGGCGGACGAGATTCTCCGAGACCATGTCGGCATGGCAACTTTAGATCCGCTGGACTGGAATTACGAGCCTTACTACAATAACCTGGAGGATTCCGACAACTTCCGTACCGCAAAGGGTCGCCTGTACCATCAAGGACCTCCATGGTGCTTCCCTCTTGGTTTCCATTTACAAGCCTATTGTCGGTTTGTGCTGAAGGATCCTGTTCAGCTCAACCAAAGGTTGAAATGGCTGCGTGAGTGGATCAAAACCTCACCTTGGGCGGGTATTACCGAGCTTACCAATGCAGGTGGGGAGCTCAACAAAGATTCGCTGCCGTCACAGGCATGGTCAACGGCCACATTACTCCACTTGGTTCATCTTCTTGACCAAGATAAGGGTAACTTGTGAGGAGTTTCCTATTATGGGTAGTATATATGCTTTTGTGTTTAATTTATACGGCTCACTAGTTCGAAAAGGTATTTTAAGCAACCTCATCAAGGGTCCTTCAAATGGCATCACCGTGGACGAAGATGGCATTAGCTATTCAAAACTAGGTTCGCTCGCGAGGTCCCACTTGCGAAAGTAACTCGTTTTTTCCGAGTTGGGTTAAACGGCAGACAGGTCTGTACCTTCCACGCCTGATCATTCCAGTACATTATTCCCCATAATGCACAGATGCATATAACGGGCATGGTTGCTTAGCCAACGACGTAGTATTCCGGAATATACAGTTGAGGGGATGTAGAGAGACACATGATGTACGACGAACAATCAGTCTAGTACGAGGTTGGACCCTTTATTCAAAACTGCATCCAAAGGGAAGCGTAACCAGGTTATATGACTTTACTCATGTTGGTATGAAAGAGTTGTTTGATGACCACCACGCTAATCATGTGGAATAGTCGCAGCCGACTTTTACCCCACCACACTTTTGCTTAATAATTTTCGGTCCGAGACTAACTTCCGTAAAAGGAAATTCAGTCTCAAACGTGATTTCGAAACGATAAACTCTCAACCAGCTCACAAAGGCATATAAATAACAGTAGTTTCCTGGTTGTCGTCTCATCATCTTCTCAACAGCCTAAACAACTATGAAGTTTTCCAACGCCGCCCTTGCCACTATGTTGGCTGCCTCTGCCTCGGCTCAGGCCATCCCCGTTGATGTTGTTCAAGACACTGGCTTGGAAAAGAGAGCCGATCTTGACGACGTTCTCGGTGCCATCCAAAACTTGGTTGACGTCCTCAACACCAAGCGGGACCTTGATGTTGCCGCCATTGACTACGCTGAAATGATGAAGCGTGACGTTGACTGGGGTGCCCTCATTAAACAGGTCCTCCTGGCCCTTCCTGGCTTGATCAAGACCGTCTGGGACTCTGGTATCATCCAACAACTCTTCAGCGCCATCTGGAACAACCAAACCATCAAGGATGCTATCTTCAACGGCATCAAGTGGGTGCTCAACACCATTTTGGGCTTCTTCACTAAGTCCTCGGGCACCCCCGCCGCTGCCGCCGGCTCTGCTCAAACCAAGAGAATGTTGGCCGAAATTGAACGTCTCCAAACTGCCAACGACCTTTCGGCTCGTGACTTTGCTGACACTCTCGGTTCCATTATCAAGTCTATCTGGGACTCAGGTATCATTCAAAGCATTTTCAACTCGGTTGTGAACTGGATTAAGACCAACCCCGACCAATTCCAAAACTTGCTCAAGCTGGCCTTGTCGGTGGTTTCATCGTTGGTTTCGAGCATCTGGAACTGGGCTCAACAAAACGGTTACGTTGAAAAGGCGTTCCAATGGATTGGCGCCAACATTGGTAACATTCTTACCACTGTTATCAACTTCATCTTGAGCTTGTTCGGTGGCAACAAGGCTGGCACTACTACTACTAGCGCTGCTCCCGCGCCTGCTCCTGCTGCTACTGGCGCCGCCAAGAAGAGAGAATTCAACAGAATGTACTAGGCCCGGAGCTTGGTTACTTGGATATACCCGATTGATTTTATATGTTTAGGACTGTTGCTTGGAAACATTTATGGTGTTTACTGCAAATAATAAATTATTCCGATTGAACTTACTACGAGTTGCGTCAACCTCATCAATAAGGGCTCATACTCACATCCAAAAACAGTAATTCATGTAATTTGTGATCAATCATTTTAGTTCGGAATGGGACACCCGATCAAGGTCATCTCTTTACCGATTTCGGAGATGTTCTACCTTCGAAACTACTTCAAATAATATAACATATACGCATGACCTCTCAGTATTTCTCGCCTGCTGCATGATATTCGGCTTCCACAACTTCGTCAGAAGAAGAACCCGCCTGGACTTTGATTTCTTGCGGGGGCGAAACTTCACCCTTTAATATCTTTAACAAGGCCTCCTGGTCATTCATTTTCGCCATAAGCTCCTCCTCTTGAACTGCACTAAGCTCATTGCGTCGCTTACCTCGAATATGGTACATCGGATTCAACTGAGCCAATGTTAAATTCTTCAACCCAGGCAAATGGCTATTGTTCTCTTCGTACATCATCAACAAAAGAGTGAGGATCACAAAAATCCAATAGATATTATAAGAAATTACCGAGCCGTACGTTGCGGAATTTTGCCAACCTAACAAGGCGTTAAAAACGTCCCAGCCATGATCAGTCTCAGGGTTACAACAATTAACATGCCATACAGACTTGCTGATGTCATAAGTTCCAGGCCCAGAGCCGTTTTCGGAGGCATCACCCCCAGTCTTCTTGTTGTACACATAATTTTCGAAATACCACACCCCTCGTGAAAATAAACCAGCAGAAATGAGATAAAGCATTGAGGTGGAAACGATGAGAAACAACTTCATTGAGACGTTGTTGCCAAAATAATAGAGAATAACGCCGATAGCTATACCTGCAATGAGACCAACAACAACGGGCAAGGGAAATGCAGTTGCCAGTTCGTTCAAACCAACACCACCAACAAAAACGACTGCCTCTAATCCCTCCCGCAAGACGGTTACAAAGGGTAAAACGAACATAGCATATTTCTTTGACAAATAACCAATCTTCAAGCGATCGATTTTCTTGGACGGGGGTTGCAAGAGGGCTTGAGCAAGTTTAACTCGCCATTTTTGTTGCATTTTGTTGATCCTCAACATGGCAACACCCATCATTGAAATCATGATCGTAGCGATCATGCAAAATATGCCTTCCCAAAGATCTTCAGACTTTGACCACACGTCATTTTTGAGAGCATAGAAAGCACCGATGAAGCCAGCGCCGATCGCGAGACAGCAGAATAGCCCTAATGCACCACCAATCCAAACTTGCTTAATTAATCTCTTGTAAGTATTTCTGTGATTGACGTCGGAACCAAATTGTTGTTTCAAAAATGAAAATAGAATACTGCTTGTTAGTGGGTGGGGACTGCAGATCAATAATGCTTGGCAACGTACCTCATAATGATAACCGCCTCAAGCGATTCTCTAAAGACGACGAAAAAAATCGTCACGTTGAAAACTTTAGCCATAAGGTCGACAAAACTTTGAGCAAAGATTGCGCAGATTCGTGGGCTTTATTAATGGCAGAAGCCATTGACGAAACAGATAATGCACATCGCTTAAATATCTGACTGCCTATTACAAAGACAGACGACAGAATGTTCGGAACAACAAAAAAAAAATAATCCTAGAGTCGAACTCTCGCTAAACAATAGACAAGTACATTTGTTTAGATGCCAAGCACCTCTTGCACGGGTTCCGACCAATATCCTTTCGGCTTTATTGTATGGATATTGACTTGGTTTTGAGTATCAGCCGCATCGCCATGATTGGTTGCACTCAATGCTGCGTTACACAAACAGGGATGGTATCATCAGGAAAAAGCCAAGCGATCGTCATCGTTATCGAAGATTTAGCAGCAGGCCGTAAAACGCACAAGCATGATCGCTCAATTATTCAACTCAGCTTTAATGGTTTACGAGAGACTGACTCATTAGTGGCCTATGATGAGGTTGCATTGTCAGATTGATCAGTCTTTGCCGTGGAAACCGAAAAGAAAAAGAAAGCCCCTACAGGCTCTCCTTTGTGCCACAATTTATTGGAATCACAAATTGTGAAGTAACTTGAACCAATGAGGGTACTCCAAACGAGCGAGTTTCGGATATCTTGTTGTGAGATTACCACTTCACTTTTTGTAGGTTCAATTTTGGTAAATTTCAGCGTTTGACGACTGCAACAATCTTTAGCTTGTCAACTCCAGGACTTGCAAGCAAACGTTTCCTATGATTTTGATTAACCGATGTCTTTTGATCACGTCGTTTCGGGAACCATCATTCTCCAAGAACAGACCTCGGAAGTGGTCTCATGCGGCGCCTTCGCAAGTCGTTTGTTAACATTTTGTTACGCGCGCATCCTGTGCCGTACACATTGGCCTCGACCATGCTCTTTTCCCTCCGATCACACGGATCTGCGGTTACCGCATTGACGACCACCACCAAAGGCCTTGTTCTGGGAGATAGAGATGGTGTAACTATCATATGGAACCTTCAGCTGCGAAGACCATTGGTGCGTTGGGTTGCTCACAAAGACATGGTAGTGACTATACTAGAGTGGGAAGAGTATTTGGTCACCCATGGAAAAGATGGAGAGATTGCCGTCTGGGAATTCGCCAATCAAGATCAGACTCCCAAATTGGTGGTATCTATTCCTGTGAATTCGTTGAATTTTTGCAACATAGTCTTGTCTGGGACTTATCTATTCACACCAGCAACTATGGATCTGAATAATTTCGACGTCTACAAGATCAATAAGGAGGGGAAAGGACTCAATCGAGTCATAACTAATTATTCGGGATGCAAATTGGTGGAAAAGGATCCTTCGCAAGGGCGTGAATGGGGCGTGATTATGTCGATGCGCTACATCAATGAAACGCTGACACTTTGTCTTTGTTATGAGTCTGGAGACGTCATAGCCATAGACATAAACTTTGATATAAAGGAGGAAGCACCTGTTGTTGAAGTTGGCAATGCCGCGCCAAATACAACAACTAAACCTAGCGGTCTATCTGGACTATTCGCTAAGTCCAAACCAGAAAAGGTGATCGAAAGAACGGTTATCAATAAGGATCCGAAACTTACTTTAAGATACCACAACACTCAACATCGACCCGAACCAATAACAGCGTCAACTTGGGATATACAACGCGGTCGGCTATTGACAGGTAGTGCAACCGACACGATGTTAGTGCATGACATCTATCATACTTGTGCTGACGTTGTTACTTTACAACATCAAGGAGTACAAGCTATTGTTTCTACCGAAGGCCATGTTATCTTGGCTCACTGGAATGGACAAGTTTCAATTCGCGAAGACGCACTTCCATACCTGGAGGTTAAGACGTTTAGCCGACCAGTACCAGGTGACCGCGTATACGATCCCGATACTGGTAAGCTCACGCCGCTGATAAAGTTGTCAAGTATAGCCGTCATTGATGTTCCAAGTAAGCGGCGACTTGAAGCTGGTCGAATGACAGCTGTGATGTGCGGCTACGATGATGGTGTGATTACAGCCTTTGCTGTGAGTAACTAGTATTAACGATTTCATAAATTACTATACAAAGAATAAACCCTTTCCGACCCATCAAGCCTAAGGTAAATTTGAAACAGTTTAATTCTGGTTCAATGCAAATTCATTTGAGACATGTCAAAGTTAGCAGAGGAGACCCGCTTGTTGTTATAATGGGACATGGACCTTCTCTTGCTGGCATTGTTATTTCTTTGGTTGTTCTGGTAACCATTGTTTTGGTAACCGTTATTCTGATAGCCGTTACTTTGATAGCCATTATTTTGATAGTTGCCCTGATAACCGTTATTTTGGTATTGATTTTGGTATCCAGCATTTTGGCCGAACTGATTGGATGCACCGAATTGGTAATTAGAGTTTTGCGCCATCAGCAACAGAGTCTGCCGTGAGTGACGTGACAGGTTTGAGAACAGACGATTACCCATGTTGCTATTCGACATGGAGTACAGCTGAGAGTGGTGGTGACCCGGGTTCCAACCGTTCTGATTACCTTTATAGCCATAGTCGTCACCCGGAGGAGTTGGAGTTCGACCATGGTTATTTCCCAGTACTACCCGCCCGGGGTTATTTGAAAGATTAGGCCGTTTGGGTAACGACAAGGGAGTCAGTTGGGGTGTATTGATGTGGCTGAAATCGGGAGCCAGCTTTCCGTCGAACCTCATCAGAGCCCGCTTTGACTTGCGGCGCTTGGACTGGATCAGGTTGCGCTTGTTAGCCGTGTTGGTATTTCCTCCCAATACCGTAGACTCAACCAGCGTGCGCTTGATCTCGTCCAGTTCACTAACTTCTTCATCAAAGGAGCAATTAACAAGAGTTTCCTGAGATTCCAGAAGTAAAGAGTCTAAATCAACCTCAACTTTTTCGTGTAATGCAATCTTCTCCTTCAAGTCAGGGTATTTGGCGAGCACATCTTTGATTACCTGAACATTTTCCTCCAATACAAGCTTAGACTCTTGTCCATGGATACGAGCAATATGCGCAAGTTTGGAAAGCAATTCCACGACAGCCTTGTTTTTATTGACATACAAGTTGTCCATGGTTTTACGTTTGTTGGTTAAAGATTCCAACAATGCGTCGATGTCCTTGTCGTTATCGGCATACTTCTGGTTCAAAGATCCGTACCGATGCTCTTGCTCTTTCTTGAAGTTTTCAAACTGTTGGGCCAAGTCGTTAAATTCTTTTTGATAATGCTTTTTGTACTCATTCTGCGATGCCAACAACGCGTCATAAGCAATCTTAAGACGTTCATGATCAGCAGTCAGCGCGGCAGTTGATTCTTGCAAGTTTTCACAACGAATCTTCATATTCTTGTTTGCTAACTGTAACAGTTCATTATTCAGATTGAGCTCATTGAATGAATCTTCGAGGTCTATGATACGACGTTCTTTGCGCTTCAATAACGCGTTGATCATATCATTTTCGTGTTTGAGATTAGCCATTTGATCAAGAGTCAGATCATTTTTTTGCATCACCAAAGTGTACTTTTTCTTGTATTCATCTGCGCTCAACTTGACCAGCTCTAATTCCTGCTTGAGCTCATCAATTTGCAGATGTAATTGGTCGATAACTTTTGACGACTTAACGTTTTGGGGACGATCCATTGTTATTTTTTCCTCGATTTAGGGGCGAATCAACAGTAATGGGGGCTTTCAGGTTCAAAGAGACCCAAAAAATGGGAAAATGGTATGTCAGGTGGACAGTAACGGAAGGGATGAGGCTCTACGTATGAATTTCTTCACACAGTAACGATTCCAACTCGACGAAAATTGTAATACCACAACCAGATACCAAAAGGTAGAAAACTGTTAAAGATTTGGGCAGTGCGTCGTCAAAGAAAACACGTAGCGCAATATGTCGGAATCGGGGGGGACTGAAAAAAAAAACCGTCGCGAGGCGTTCTGTGAGATTGTAGATAAAGAGGGGGACACCAAAAATTCGTGAAGCTATTTTCTAAAAACAGTGTTTTACATGGATTCTATCAGCTTATATTTTGGATGCATTTCACGAGATCAAATATAACGCTTGTGCTTTCGCCATGAGACGCGTCTTCAACTGATCCAATAAGGGGAAAAATTCGTCATCACATGACCAAGCAGCCAATAATCCGAAGTTGAAGAAGATACAGAGAATATGCATGATCTATACGTAGATGCAAACACTTTCAAGAACCTGATGAATCAATTGATATATACCCAGAATGTTGAAGCGATTTCAAGTTCATGCTGCCAGGTTTCTTTGTATAAGATTCGCGACCGCGTCGGGATCAGAAATCCTTGATCCGATCTATGTATACCGAAATGCACCCGATCTGCAAACCTGAGTCGTCAACGAAATTGCAATAAAGGCGAAAACATGAAGATTCCATCATGACTTGAATCTAGTCTTGCTTTGATGCCCACTTAAAGAAGGCGGGCACATCGCGCGCAATAATTGATGGAAGGGCTACTTTCATGAGAGCGTCGGGGACGAGTCCCCCTGGATGCACTGCTGATACAAACTCCCAAGTCAATTGCTTTTTCTTTGGGTCGTACCGGATTCTGTCCACCAGTTTATAACGACCGACAGTATCGTTATTGGTGCCATAGGGTTGGAGGGGGAGCTGAACAACGAGCAGCTCCTGATCCCGTTTACTAACGTATCCAGCATGGAAAAATACGCGATTACTCAACGGAAAAGGGTAGCGGTACCTTCTTGTGACCCGAAAGACAGCCAGATTATCATCAACGATGTTATTATCTCGCCAGGGTTCGATGTCTGCTTGGTATATGGCGGTGTAGTACTCCTTCTCATAGCCCCAATGACAGGTTTCGACATCAGTCATACTTCCAGTGTGATATCGTATGAGCTTGTAATGGAGTTCTTCCACATTCTCGCCTACCTGACTAAAGTCGACTTGGCGCAGTACCCAGTACTCTTCAACATTTCGAGGTGAATGTCGGGTGGTAACTTTGATATTAGCGACGCCATCAGTCGTGGGTATCTCGAAGTTGTAAGTCTTGTCAATCTTCCACGACAACAGTTCATCCACCATTTTGTGGCTAGTGGCAACCGTCAGTGCCAACGGGGGTGGCTCAGGCACGGGAGTAGTGTTCATTACACACTTTCGTGAATTCTCCGCCCTTTAAAATGAGTATGGTTGCGATATAAGGCGGCTGCATTGTCATGCTGTCTTTCGAGATGTATCTTTAGAGGCAACATGAGGCTCAGCTCTGTTGCTTGTCTGATGAAAATCGATGCAATGGCTTATCAATCGATTTCAGAATGTAGGGTTCCCCTGGCAGATGCCCTCGCTTGGCCATGTTTCGATGAATTTATCGGTTTCGTGCCTGTCACAATCCATCCAGAATAAGGTATGAGGCGGCCTCTTGCTTCTTTATCCAAACTTCTCACAAGCTGAGAAGCCTTTAGAATCTTGAAGTAGTAAATAGTATTTCCAAACATAACACGTCCAAATGAGAACGCATATACAATGACATGGGCCCAACGCTTATCCTCATATTACTGCTTGTAGGAAGTGGAGGCGTATCGAAACCTTATCTGGAGCCTACTCAAATTTCATAAGTAAATGGATCACAGCTGGGGCATTAGCTAACCTAATTCAGACACATTAACGATTCTCATATACTACTCGACAGTTGGCACGATTTTCGGAAGCCGACGGGTATGCCACAATTTTGTGACAGCCTTCCAATTACGTCATAGTTTCCGCCTACCCTACCACCAGACAATGCAATACCACCATCGCTTCGATAAAGAACACCGCCTGTATCTACGTCATTGTAACTGCCAAACTGGAGTGAAATAACCTGAAGACCAGTGAAGCTATAAGAAATGCAGAGTATTTTGGCTCTTACGATTATGATGGCATTTGCGCTGCGAGAAGTTTTAAGGTGTATGCGCGTACCGTGACGAAGGTGTTGGGCGGGACCGTATAAACCAGGCCGTCTGAATTCCGCAAGTTCTGAAATTAACTTGTGTATTGCCCATTAACAAAATAACAAAAAAAGGCGATTAATAAATATAAATAAATAGGTCTGTCATAAGGTGTTGTCATAAAGTGATGCCGCAGGCATCGGTATCCACAATGGTGGGCATCGCTTACCTAAGCGCGGTAAAGGGGAATAGGGTACGAGGTAAAGTACGCGTTGGTCTTAGTAGCCACACCGGCCCAGGCGTTGTACCAACCCAAGAAAGCAGTCACGACACCAAGGACACCACCAGCTCTGGTAACACCAACCTTACCCGTGAAATCACCAGCAGCAAGCAAAACGAACGTCACAGCGAGACAGAAGAACAAAAGGAAAAACATCACGGTCGACTTAAGGGTGAGCGAGCACATCATGAAAGTGAACAAAGCCCAAGCAAGCAAGTAGAATCCGACGGCGTTATGGAATTGATGAGTGTCAGCAGTACCATCTTCAAAAACGTAACCACCAGCAATGTTGAACGACTTCACATTGATGGCCATGTACGACAACCAGAAAGCACCATAAGAGCAGAAAGCGGTGGCACCAAAAGTGTTACCAACACACATTTCCCAAACACCAGCCAAGAATTGCGCAGCACCACCATAGAAGGCAGCCATACCCACGACGACGTTGGGGATCTTGATGCCCATGGCCTGAGCATTGTAAAGCGACAAGCAGAAAGTAGTCATCCCGAAGGCAGAAAGACCAAGGGGAGCGGGGTTGGCAAATTCGTGTTTAGGAGGAGGAGACAAACCCGGGTTCAACGTACCACCAAAGGCAGCCATCAATTCGTGACGGTGGAACTTTTGGTTACCGATGATGATGTACTCATCGTTATCACCGGCAGTTTGAATCTTCGACACGTCGTGCGAAGAACCTTGGTCTCTGTATTCCTTGGAGTTGATGGATTCAGACATTAATACTCTTGAAGCTCTCAGAAGCAGGTGTACAAAGTTGCTCTTATTTATAATGTTCCTTCTCGGAGTGACTCCGAGCATAAATATTTTTTCTTGTGCATAATGGGTGGGGTATGTGCAGGGCGACCTCCGCACGGAGTGGGGATGGCCCATGCCGATACTTTCCAGAGTATTTGTGATTTCATACAGATTTTCGGTAAAGGCTCAGGAAAAAACAGAGCTTTGGAAAAATTTTGCTGTAATTACCTTCGTATAATTGGGTTAGGCCTAAGAGCGTTACCGAGGTTACCGAAGTATAAGCAGCTTTCAGTACCTGCACAAAGCCACACCATCTGCATTGTTTTTTGGTAACAGCCCCGCACAAGAGGAGGGTGTTGACGCTGGATGTATCAACTCACCCCCCCAGAAAAAGGTGGGCACATGAAAGGTAGCAGCACGCCGTATCCCCCAGACCGCCTTTAACTACATTGAGAACACACACATCCAATAGCCCAACGTGTAGTGCAGGATTGTCAAGACTCTCGACGACTCAAAAGTCATTCGCCACCACCATAATTAGTTATTATTATTTGAACGAACATTCATATATGGGGAAAAGCTTGGCGAGGAGACCCGAGTTTCAGGCAGAAACAATATTTAAACGGCTTTTCTATTTTGGTTAGGTACCATTCATAACATAGAGCCAGGAGTTCAATAATTGAGCATATTGAGTTTGAATTTAGGTGCGGCTGTTGATTAATGGGATGACCAATGTTCATTGTGGATTGCGTAGGCCGTATGTGAGTTCCAACCCCTCCCTGGGAAGTTTTGAACACCGACCCATTTTCTCGTCATGGATGGGGCGATTTGCGAGTGTTTGGCGGGGTGGCCCGATGTCTACAATTTTGAACAAACGCCGTGCAAATGTATGAATAAGGGAGTTTTGTGGAGTGCATGCCCTTAACAAACGGCTGATAACTCATGTAATTATGGGGGCTGGAAAGATACCACACATTGACAGTACGTCCTACAGCTAGTTTCTGTTGGTGTGAGGAACGTGGGTCATCAGTATTCACGGAGTCCCAGGTGGCGCGAACTCCGAATGTTTCTGACAGATTAAGTCTCCCTTGAATTTGATTGGCTCGGAGACCGTCCCGGGGAGCGAGTGGGGCAGTAAAAAGACGCGCGTAGTGGGAACGCTCATTATGACTTAAATAACGTTTTGAAAACATAGATGCAAGCTGCTCATGTATCCGTTAGGTTATGTTATAACAAGCATACGCTGACGCTGCACCTGCCCCGATGCGTTGATATATTCTCACAACGTTTAAGTATCGATTTTGTACCAAGTGTCTGGTACCCCACATTTACAACCCACAACCCCGGGTCCGATCGAGTAAGACGTGTCTGTACCAATTGGAAATCCGTGAAGGGCATATAGACGAGACGCGTCATCAAACGAGGTCATGTGACTGGCTCATCTTTTTTTTTTTTTTTTTTTTTTTTTTTAAAAANACAATCCTACGATTCGAACATACGAACACATCGGGGCGGAGCACTTTTGGTTTAGACACGCAATTTAAGCAAAGAGTTTTTTTTTTTTCCCTTGATTGCGCGGCCAGCACTTCCACGTAGGCAACCCGTAGGATGGTCACGGATATATGGATCCGACTTGTCCCAGATGCTGCCAAAAATCTTGGCGAATTTAGTAATAGTTCTTAGAAGCAAGTATTGAGGCCTACCGGAGACACGCGTATATTGAAAGTAGGTCAATTGGCGGTAGTTTAGTTTATATGTTTGTTGCGAAGTTAATCCCGCAACAAGGCACACGCTGTCGCGACATTTACCCCTTGAGTGCTGGCGATGGAGCGCTTACAAGGCGTAGTAGCCATGAGGCTATACTCATAGTTCCAGTGCGTGGTCCAAACTCATGGAACGTCTCCGCCGCATGCCTAATTTCTTGGCAGGGTCTGCGAACAGATAACGAACTTCAGTCAACGACCATGTATAACGCTGGAGTTACATTCAGGTGTTTGGAATATCACTGTGCACTTTAATCAGGATTAAGTGACGCGTCGAGGCTGGATCGTTATTGTTATGCAGGGTGGCACGATTTCGGCTCGCCATCGGTGCGTGATTTTTGTGCGATTAGGTTTTGTTTACGTGGAGCCCACCCGTAGCCAGCGTCTAGCAACCACACTGTGACAGCCAAGCCTTCTCAGTGATCCGGGCTTGCCTTACCACGTTTTGTACAAGTTTGATTACTCAGCGCTTTCGGGTCCTCGCTGAGTTGCATGACGAATATGTTCGTGTGCACCAGTGATCGCGTCACGTATTCACGATGCGTGTCGATCGACGAGCCGGAGGTGGTAGCCCACCAATGCCACACAACCAGCAGGTGGCACGTTTCGAGGTGTCCGATTTACTCGTGTTTTGTGCATGATACTCGGGCATCAAACACTGGTGGATTTTCCCCCACGATAAGCAACAATGCAGGGTTGCTCATCCCTTAATTCTTGACTTAAGTTCCTTTCAGCTCCGGAGTGAAATCCGTTGCCTTAGCGGGGCGCTTCCCAATATAGATTTACGTCCTTTTGACAAGGTGCAGCGTCTGCGGGATTTTGGGTCGCAATGACTACGGCGCTGGGTAG